TTGCCAGGCAGGCGCTTGTGCCGCTGAGCCTACCTCCCCGACACCTTACAAATAAACTTTTTAAAAGGGCCGGCCATATAGCTCAGCGGATTAAAGCACCTGCTTAGGCAGACACAGGGGCCAAGGGTTTGATCCTCGGGCCTGCCTCGATGGCCCTGCCCCCAGGGCGCACTGAGAGGACGATTGAGATTGGGCATGGTGGCGCACACCTGTAATCTCAGCACTTGGGAGGCTGTAAACAGGCAGGTCACTACAAGTCCAGTGTATGCAATGAGACCCTGTATACCCTGTCCTAAAATACAAAAAAACTCACGAATTTTTAAATGTTACCAGATCGTTTGGGTGAGGTGGCCAGCTCTCGCTGAGTAGTGAAAGAGTGTCTTGGTGTCATTCTTAACAAATAGGTGTGTTTCCCCTGGCTCCTAAAATACTCAGAGATTGCGTAGGGAAGGCGTGGAGAGCACCGGCCCAGTGAGCTGGCTTGGCATGGGGCTTCCAGGCCTCTCCTGTGGGGAGTGGGAGCCTTCAGGGCACACAGCGGGACCCGGACTTGTGGAACACAGGTGCACGGAAGGTTAAGGGAGCAGCTGGGATGTTTCTAGAAAGGTGTAGAGCAAAGTTAAATGCCAGAGGAAATTTCTGGCCACGGGGAAAATCTCTTTTTAAATTCCACCCTGTTAGGTATTACTAAAGACTTGCTGTGTCTAAAGGTTTAAAGTCTCAGCTGGTGAAACTCTTTAAAATTGATTGGATACACGAGAACCTTTCCTAACAGTGTATCGTGAGGGGTCGGTAATGAAAAATGAAAAGTGCTTCAAGTGAGATAAATTATAAGAGGAGGCATAGCCTTTCGGAACATTGTGGGATGGGGTTAGTGGCCTAGTAACTTTTTTTTTTTTTTTTGGATAGTGGGAACCAAACTCAGGACCTCATACTTGCCAGACAGGCGCTGTACCACTAAGCTATACCCCACCTTGCCCCTCCTTTTTTTGAGACAGGGTCTCACTATGTAGTGCAGGCTGGCCTTGAGCTCACTGTATGTCCTGGTCTCAACACACAGCAATCCTCCCATGCCAGCCTCCTGAGTGCTGGGATTACAGGGTTGTGCCATCACACCTGCCTCCCTAATAATCTCTAAACTAATTTCTCAAGGGCTGGAGATAGAGCTCAGCGGCACAGCGCCTGCCGGGCAAGTGTAAGGTCCTGAATTCGATTCCCAGTACCAAAAAGGAGAAAAAAAATGACCATGAATTAATATCTCAGACCCTCTAGGATCAGGAACCTCCGTAATTCAATAGAGTATACTGAAGGCTCTAGAAAGATCACCAGCCAGTATATTTTTAATTTTTTAAGCTTTTTACTTAACTTTAAATGATGTTATTGATAATTTGTAATATGTCATTAAAATTATTTATTTTCAGAGCAGACAAAAGGATTAAGTCTGCCAACAGTTTCCCTAGATCTGGATTACAGAAAACTCATTTTAATCCCCTAGCAAGACCTCTCTCTCTCTCTCTCTCTCTCTCTCTCTCTCTCTCTCTCTCTCTCTTTATGTATTTGGTACAGGGTCTCACTACACAACTGGGACTCTTGGTGATCCTCCTGTCTCAGCCTCCCCAGCCCTGGGATTACAGCTGTCTGCCACCACCCCCAGTCTCGGTGGCTCAGTGTGCCCAAGAGTGGGGCTGGCACAGCATGTGGTACCTTCTTTTACTCTTTTATAGCATGAATTTTTTTTGTGAATCTGTGCTGCTTATTTTTGTCATAAGTACGGTGCTTAGTTTTTGTGTAGTATTAGACTGTGCAGCGTTGTGTAACATCACACTGTGAAAGCCAGGAACTGTTCCAAGGCCAAGCAACAAGCAGTTAGTAAAGGAAACGAAAAGCATATGCCTGTGTAGTGTGGCCAGTGCGGTTACTCAGTGACAGTGACAGACACAGCACTAAATGTAAGGAATGCAAAAAGCCATAAAGGGGCCAGTTAGATAGCTCAGCAGACTAAAGCGCCTGCTTAGGCAGGTTTAGCAACTGGGGTTTGATCCCTGGCCTGCCATGCAGGCCCCACCCCTGGGGTATGCTCAGAGGGCAATTGAGACTGGGCATGGTGGTGCGCGCCTGTAATCCCAGCACTTGGGAGAACACAGGAGGATCACTGTGAGTCCAATCTGTGTAGTGAGACCCTGTAGACCCTGTACTGAATACATAAATAAAAATAAAAAACCATAAAAAACATTTTGATTAAGTTATAAATCCAAGTATTCTAAAAACTGTTGTAACAGTGAAAATAAACAGATTCCTTAAAATATTTGTTAAGGGCTGGGCAAATCGCTCAGTGGCACAGGTGCCTGCCTGGCAAGCGCAAGGTCCTGAGTTTGGTTCCCAGTACCAGACACACACACACAAGCATCTGTTCAGTGGTGCATGGTACGTGCCTGCATTCCTGGCACTCAGGAAGCTGAGACAAGAGGATTGTTGTGAATTTGAAACCAACCTGGGCTACAAAATGAGCTCAAGGCCAACCTGACCTGCAAAGTGAGACCCGATCACAAAAAAGACAAAAAATAAATTACTGAACCCTGTTTCACTGTAATTGTTCTGTTAGAACATGAGAATATAATTGTCAGAGCTTTAAATCTATCATTAAACCAGTAAGTATTTAATACTTCACTTGCCTTTTGGAATCAAGAGATTCATTAGATTATTTTAAATAGTTTTCAAAGTTTTGGAAAGTTCTTTAATTTATTTAGAAAATGCCCTTAATTTTTGTTGAAATTATGATTAAAAATTGCCAGTTCAATCCCTGTTTGGGGGGGGGAGGGGGGATTCCTGTTACGCTGGTTACGAAGGCCTGTAATCCCGGCACTGTCAGAGGCTGAGACAGGAGGATTGCAAGTTCAAGCCCTGCCCGGGCAATTTAACCACTTAGTGAGACTCTGTCTCAAAATAAAAATTAAATGGGTGTTGACTTAGCTTAGAGTCATGAGGACCAAGAGGGGAATTAAATGGTCAGCGTAGCATGTCTATCTGAATCATGGCTACAAGTTTCATTTGGAAGAAACCGAGGCATTTCTTTAGATTAGACCTTTTGTTGACTTTTTCTGCAGTTCAGACTCATAGTGATCCTCCTGTCTCAGCCTCCCAGTGCTGAGGTTACAGGCATGCACCTCTGTGCCTAGTTTTAGTGGCTGGCATGAGGTGCTGGGGCTCAAACCCGGGTCCTTGTGCTTGCCAGGCAGGTGGTTAGACTGCAGAGCTATTCCCCAGCCCTCCCTTTCTCTATAGGTTAAGTGAAATAACAGCTTAGGATGTGATAACCAGTGAACTCTAATCCTTTAGGATTTGGGGTACCTACCTGTGGTGGTGATTATTAAGGACTGAAAGCAGGGCAGCTCATTCATTCCTTTTTATCATTCTTCCAAGAATCAGAAAGCAACAGCACATCTTAAGTGCTGCCCTGTGTTCTCGCTCACTTCATTCTTCCCAAATGCCAGTCCACAAGGCATACTTGCTTGGGGTGGGGGTGGGGGAAGCCCTAAAACAACAAATGCCTAGAGATCCTTGTAATTAATTCTCTAAGTTTCTTGTCATTTGGTATAATTGTCAGCATTTTCTTCTTTTTAAATGAATTTAGGACAGGGTCTACAGAGTCTCACTACTTAGGTCCAGCTCATAATGAGTCTCCTATGCTCAGCCTCCCAAGTGCTGGGGTTACAGGTACATGCTACCATGCCCAGTCTCAGTCACCTTCTCAGCGTGCCCCAGGGTCTGGGTTGGCACAGCATGCAGGGGATCTGGCTGCTGCGCTCTGCCTAAGCGTGCACTGTAGTCTGCTGAGCTATCTGGCCAGCCCAGCATTTCTGAATAGGTTTTATTCCTTTTGAAGCTTTTGAGCAGTAGCGTATTGATACTGAAGAGAAGGTATCCATAGATAAAATCCCTGGAGATCGGTGATCACAGCTGTAGGCAAAACGTGCGCAGCTTTGGCTGTGGTTGAGGGAACAGAGACACAGGACAACGCTGTCTGTCCCGGTGACGCAGTCAAGGGCCACAGATAGGTCACGTGACCGCTGTCTCCTCACACACTCCTGCGCTTAGGTCAAAGGTCTGCTTCTTCCTGCAGGCGTTGTTTTCATAAGCCAAGATTCATTCCTTTACAGGCTAAGTCACTCGCGTAGCATACTTGTTTTTGCCATCGACAAGCAGTGTGCATTTGAAAACAGGCTCCAGAGTCCTTAGGAAAAAGCACCTTAGAAATTTTCTGTCTTGATCCTTCTATTTCAGGTAAGGGGAGGTCCAGCCCAGCACGGCCAAGAGCCCGTGGACACTGTACACAGCGTGGTCCTTAGAACCTTACCCCGCCTCCTGTAGGCCAAGTCACTGGGGTGGAAAAGTGGGGTCTAAAGAATTTCTAGGGGTGCAAGACTAAACAAATTCAAATAGATTTTCTTTACCATGTGACCTTTCAGAGCCCTTAATATACTCATGTGCTAGGCCACTTTGTTGAGCTCCCGAGTGTCTTCTCATAGGATTCCAGTCTTCCTTTCTAATCTCTCTTCCTCTGCCCCACCTAAACTCTTTTTCTATCCAAACCAATGTGCCACCCCCACTAGACTGACAGGTTTTCAATTTCTTTCCATTGCACATCGCAACTCACCAATTATAAGTGTGGACAGTAGAAGACTAAATAAAATAATATCGTTTGCTTTTCTCTGGCTAAGGCTTATCACTATATCCGTTCGATAAAAGATTATTTAATAGGCCACGAGAATTCAGGCATGCACACAACCTGTGTTCTGACAGCTTCTGGCCTGGGATGGGTCTGTGAATCAAGGAATTACACGAAGGACACTAATGGCAGGAAATTAAAGGAAGAGACCCAGCTCCCTGTGGGTCTCTAGCAATGTCACCTGCAGCCATAGGGTCAGAGCGAGCTGCTGACAGGGAGCAGCCTGAGACCTGAGACAGAGTTGGCAGAGCTTGAGAGACAGAGTTGTGGATGAAGTGGAAGGTTCCAGAAGCTGAGGGCACCGTGGCTGGAGCACAGTGGGTAGAAGGCAGCTGCGAGGCACAGAAATGAGGCCTGAGAGGTGGACACAGCAGCCTGAGCCACCAGGGCCTGCTGGGTTGCGTGTGCACAGTGGCTGTCAGCTTAAGAGTTACATTTAGAGAACATGGCAGTCGTTGATGCAGACTCTGTTCATCTTTGGTTTTGTCTCATGGTGACAGTGCTCCTGCTTAGAATTGTTTGTCACAGTTTTGTATCTGCAGGCTTTGGAGCAAAAGGAACCAACCTCCAGAGCTAGCGTGACGCTTGGTCCCCCCTGCTGGCAGGATCCAACTGGTGCTTTTAGGCTTCTGGCTGTCACAGTGGTGCCAAAGTCAGGGACAATGGACTGGAAAAGGAGCAGTGACGCTTCTGTTGACTGGCCTCTTTTGGCCGACCTCCTGGGAGGCATCGAAACTAATCCATTTTGGAGAGTAAATCAGTAACTATCTATTGAGAATCACAGGATCCCGTGCCAGAACTTTACCAGGGTGTGCATCTCATCAACACATGTATGCTAGGAAGAGCAGGAAAGGGCACACCGGCCATAGTAGCCTGACAGATCGATCAGACCTGTTCAATGTTCATTCCTCAGAACATCCACAAAATAGAAATGACGGTATTAGATTTATACACGTTAACCTACATTTTGAAGAACACTGCTGAGTGCAACAAATTATAAAATGATGCATACATGATTCAGATTTCTACAGGAATTTTAAAAACACATAAAACAAAACTACATGGATTCTGTCATATGTGGTAAGAGTATAACAGCATGTGTGCATAGAGTTCGCAGTAGTGGTTGGCTCTGGGGGGAAAGATGAAAAAAATTGAGTGTTTTCAGTCATAGTGTCCATTATTTTTGTTCTTTTTATATATTTTCAATATTTTTTTTAAATTTTATATTTTCAATATTGTGTAACTTAAGATAAAGTATTTCCAATGAGCTTCCAAAACCAAGATAAAATACAGCCAAGGCTTCGAGCAAGGGATGACTGTTGGGGAAAGAACTTTGCAGGAACCAATCACGCTGGAGCTGGGTTCCACCCCCAGCGTGAGCAGAGGAATGTTGCCTTTTAAATTTGAAATGTTCGTTTGAGGGGTTCTGTTGGTTTTGCTGCCAAGGTAGAGAAAGGCCTTGAGGGTTGATGAAAGAATGGTGTTTGGGGATGACCCCAGAGAGTGAGGTAAAGGCAGTTACTACAAATGGTGGAAGTGTTTCCCGTGTAGAGATGGAGCCCGGGCACTGGTTCCTCCGCTGAGAGAGCACAGCTCTGGACTCTCAGGAGCTCTCCTAGGGCCTAGGATCTAGGCTCTGAGTGCAAACGCTCTTTTGCCCAGGTGTGTTGGTAGGGTTTGCTAGGACAGGGGACCCTTTAGGTGGAAAGGAGGGAGGTGCCTCGCCCATAGGCGAAACCTTATGAAACCTGTGCTGTGGGCCCTTTGCCTTCCCTATCACATTCTCCTGGGGTCTTTCCTCTGAGATGTCGCCCTCCTTTTAGATTTTCATTATGTACCACTCTGTGTGTGTGTGTGTGTGTGTGTGTGTGTGTGTGTGTGTGTGAGAGAGAGAGAGAGAGAGAGAGAGAGAGTTGTGTTGGTGTGTTGGTTCTGGGATTAAACCAGGGCCTTCTCAGCTACATCCCCCAGCCTGTCTGTCTGTCTGTCTGTCTGTCTGTCTGTCTGTCTGTCTATCTATTTAAAGTAGCTTTAATTTCATAGAAATATAGAAAGTTCACTTGTAACCCCATGTCTGGTTTCCTCTATTATATATCTCTTATCCATGGTTAATTTTAAGCCAATTTTCCCCTTGCTTAGGGGGCTGTAGACATACTACTTTGCACATGGGATACTTCAGAGACTACTAGCATCAAAGTATAAAGCCAAATTAAATTTTTTTTATTTATAAAGCAATCTGGAAATAAACAACAAATTATGGAACTCCTTAAGAAATCACCGGCATGGTGCCTGGTACTTGTAAATACTCAACAAATATTTATTTTTGAAAAATGAATGATCCCTGTGTGGTGGTGCACATCCGTACCCACGGCCCTCAGGACACAGAGGCAGGAGGATCGCTGCGAATGTGAGGCCGGCCAGGGCTCCGTGAGTTCAAGGGCAGCCTGAACTACGGAGTGAGACTGCCTCACAAACGAGCAGAATGAATGCATGCGTGCATGAAAGAATCCAGGTGCCGGACTCTGTATCCTGAGAGCCTCAAGTCTTGAGGCTTCCAAAACAGGTCACGTTGCTCCTCGTATGTGTAACTTGTCCTGCCGCATCCAGTTGTAATTCTTACAGTTGATTGGTTTAAGACAAAATTTCCTCTTAATGTCTTGGTTACCGTTGGTGTATTAACCACCCGTTGCTTCCTCCACCTTCTTTAACTTCCTTCCTCGAGGTACCCAAAAGTACCTGGCACCGCCCAGGCCTGGCCCTCAGTGGGAATGCTAAGTACGTACACATTTGGCGACTTTTGACTCTTTGATGTCTGTGTTCTTTAAGACTCTTTGTTTTGCCTCAGGATATAATGGGGCAGAACCAGAAGTTGTGGTACCTTGTGGAAAATGCTGTGCATTTTGGGAGAGTACTGATGTAGGGTTTTGGTGTTTTTTTGTTTTCATGGTTTTATCACTACGTGCTTGCAGTGCATAGTGTCTGCATTTGTTGTGGGGAGATGGGACATGCACAGAACACGTCTTTGTGCTCTCTTTGTCCCCTCCCCACCCTCCACCTTTCAGTTCTCTTCCCCTCTGCAGAAGATCTGCCTCCCTGTTTCTTACCATCTCTTCCTTGGCTCTTTATAGTTTTGGCCTCTAAGCTCGTGGATCTGAGTTATGTCACTTGCCGTATGGTCCCAACGTGAATCCACTTTGCTTCGGAGAGTTCAAGTGTATCCTTGTTCTAGAGCAGAGCCACGCTCCCGTGTGTGTAAACACACTCCTGTACTCGTTCGTCAGTTGGAGGACAGACAGGCCACTGCCAAGATTCATGTATTATGAATTGCGCTCTGTAAACTCTGGCTTTGTCTTTTTGAGGCAGGGTCTCACTCTGCACCTCAGGCTGGCCTTGAGCTCACGTTGTAGCCCAGGCTGGTCTTGAACTCTTAACTGATCCTCCTGCCTCAGCCTCCCGAGTGCTGGGATTACAGGCATGCTCCATCCACCATGCCCAGTTTACACGTAGATTTGCTTATAACCCTGTAATAGGATTCTTTAAAATCTCCTTTGAGAGGATACTTGCTACACAGATATTAATTATACAGAATCAATCATGTTTGGTGTTACCCCAGTAGTCTTCTTTAAAGTCTTTTATCTGAGCAAATAGAAGCAAAGAGAATGTTTTTTATTAAGGAAAGTAAAAATGCCTCACTTAGAAGGTGGACTGTAACAATTAATCTTTTTATGCTTTCAGAATTCAGCTGTGGAAATGGCTTTGTCAAAACAACTTTCTCTCCATGTTCAAGAAAGCATGAAAAGCATTGACAGTGAGGAGAAAGTCAGTGAGCTGCAAAATCAACCTTTAGAGTTAGACGCTGTGTTAAGAGATGAGCAGCTAAAAGCGATAGAGGTAATGGCAACATAAAAAGCCCTGGCCGCGTGATTGCACCACTTTCCCCACACAGCACAATATCTTGTAATTACCCAAAACTTGCTTGTGCAGAGTGAAAAGTCTTACTTAACCTTTGCCTGATGATCTGGTAACTCTGTAATTATGTACTAATCAGTAAGTTGTATAAATCACTCCACTTAAACAGTGGAGGCGTTGAATGGGCGCCCTTCTTCCTTCACTGTCACAGAGTTCCTGCAGACTTTTTCAGAAAGAACCAGAAGAAAATCGCAAGATTCTGACTCATCATCGTTTCATTTTTCATAGTCAAGTGTATTCTTCTGCGTCTGATGAATTCTTTCTGATCATTCCTAGTGATTAATGTTACAGCGTCCTCCTTTGTTCTTACAGCTGTGTTTATAGCCTATGGTAGGGTATTTATGTATTTTTAACTATGTAAAGTAGTCTGAAAACCCATGTCTTTTGGTAGGGGGAGGTACTGGGATTCGAACTCAAGACTTTGTGCTTGCCAGGCAGACGCTGCGCCACTGAGCTATATTACTGGCCCACATGGTCATGTTTTTAAAAATGAAACTGCAAATGATCCCTACAATTTAAGCTAAAATTATATAACACTAAATGTGTATCTGAAAAGGAAAGCGAGGTGTTAAAAAAAAAAGATGAATTTTGTTCTTAGCAATCAGAGCACCTAGAGTAGGGTGCAGGAAATCACGTGAGTCGCGAAATCAGAGACCAGCCTGGACAGCAGAGCAGTTCCCTCTCTCAAAGGAAGAGAAAAGAAGACAAGAAATCAGAGTATTGTAAGACAGTGGGGTGATCTAATTGATATTCAATGTGGGTCCAATGGTGAGTTTTAGTATAGGTTTTAACGTGATGCAAGTAAACAACAATGTGATAGGTGCCAGGACCTTGGTTTTTCAATGTGCAAATAAATTATTTGGGATAGGTTTAGTTATCTGGAAGGAGGGACAAAGGAAAGAAAATGAATGGACAGAAGTGGATGTGTGTTTTCTGATGCGTGTGCCTTGTTGGTAGGAATTATATACCCAGTTGGAAGCCAAGAAAGATGCCATCGAAACACTGGCTCAGTCCGAGGGGCTGCCGAGCGCAGACACAAGGGCCCTGGGTCTCCACGACACAAGATGGTCTCCTCACCACCTGGATGGTCTGCTTAAGGCGCTTTCGACTCTGAAGAAAGATAAAGGAAGCCAGTACCGTCTCCTGCAAGACTTCCAGGAACGCCTCGCTGCACTCGAATCCTCCTTGGAAGCCTCCATGGTGGAGAAGGGGAGTCTCAAAGCGTAAGTGCGTGCAGGACTGGCCTTAGTGCCTCTTACGGCCTCCACTGCCTCGGGTGGCCCAGAGTGGCGGTGCAGGAGGCGCCGGAAAAGGAGAGGGAGGTTTTAGAAACTGTGCCACGGGAATGAACTCAGGTTGGGTGGGCTCTGAACAACAGAATGTGTTCTTCAGAGCTTGGAGGTTGGAAAGAAGAAAAGGGGGAAAATGTTTGCACACACACACACACACACACACACACGATAGCAAAGATAATTGTACTATTAATTTCTATTAGTTTATTGAAAGGAACAGTTAGTGCTTATATTGTTTGATCATTTTTGCATGCCTGTATCTAGTAATCCTAGCAAGTACTTTAAAGATAACATTATGCAATATAAATACTCTTGTTACCTTGTTTTGAAATTCTGTATTTTTTTTTAAATTCCCTTTATTAAAAAAAGATGGTGGCAAATTTAGATCTGGCAAAAACATGCATATACTTGCTTAGAATCAGCATAGTTTGTTTGAATACTTTAGCACGTATTTTTGTATATTTTATTAGTTTCTTTAAGAGATACTTGCTTTGGCTTTGAAAATGCCAGCAAATAGTGGTAAATATAATGTTAATATGTAAATATGTTCCCATTGAAATACTTATTTTATATTTATATCTGAATGGGGTTTACTTTTAATATCTTTGAGGAAGCAATTTTGTACTTTAAAAGATTAGTTTAATATTGCAGCTTTTTTTAACTTTTATTTTTTAAAGAGTATAGGATAGTATTAAAACAAAAATTACAGATGATACAGAATTTCACTAAACAAAATAACGTGAGGGCCAGCCAAATAGCCCAGTGGATTAAAGTGCCTGCAAGCAGGCGCAGGGGCCAGGGGTTCAATCCCCAGGCCTGCCAGCCGGCCCCGCCCCCGGGGCACACTGAGATAGCAGTTGAGACTGGGCGTGGTGGGTGGCGCACGCCTGTAATCCCAGCCCTTGGGAGGCTGTAAACAAGCGGATCACTGTGAGTCCATCTACTGATGAGACCCTGAACACCCTGTAGACTCTTCCCTAAAATATATATTTTAAAAAACTAGCACATTTTATAAGGTATCATGTCTGCATCTTGTACTACGAGTAACTACTATGAAGACAACAATGTGCAATATATTAATTATGGTAACTGTCCTACTAACCTGTTTTGAAACTGTCTCATTGCTACTTCTTTCTCAATAAAATTAATATAAAAAATAATAATGTGAATTTCAAAGTATTCGTTGTACTGCATAGTGTTGTTTTCAAATTAGTTGTTCATACCACCAGATATATGCAGGCAAAACTAGAAGAAGAAGAAAAGAAATATATAAGAAACTAAGAAGAGAAAAAGGTAACAGAATTGAAAAAAGTAGACAAAACAGGTAGCCACCATTAGACCGGCAGCTTCTTAGTCAATATCTGTGCTGGGGAGATGGTGACAGAGGTGCTGGATGACGCGGTCGTCTCTCGGAGCTGGGCTGTGTACAGCACAGCATGCAGGCTGTGTCCAGGCACGCCGTTCTCTGCACGCTGCTCCGTGCTGTGGCTTCTGCTTGTTCTCCAGCGAGCCCTTACATTGCCAGCACATTGAGTGAGAGCCCCGGGAAGCACGATTCGGTTCTTATTTCAGGGTAGAGTACTTTTCTAGGCATCCTGCTCTGTTTAGTGAGTTCAAAGCAGAAGTGGTTTCTTTTAATGACCTCTAACTACATGTTAAAGTATAATAAGCATGAAATATTAATGACTTCTGTTTGTATTCTTGCTCTAGGGGACCACTGGACAGTGAAATGTACCTGGACAAAATTAAGAAGTTCCTGGAATCAATAGAAAAAGAAAAAGGTTCCTTAATCGAGTTGCAGGTCCAGTGGGAGATGTTGTCCAGCCGCGTGGCTGACATGGATAAGCAGCTGTTGCAGAGCCGGATGAAGCAGCTGGAGCGTGGTTGGGAACACCTGGAACAGCTGGCTCAGAGGAAGTATGCTCAGCATGTAGTGGAGTGTGATGAATTCACCTCGCTCAGAAATGAGATCCATGACCTCGAGATTTCTCTGCAGCAGCAGCAACAGCGGTGGCTACAGTTAGGGCCGAACTTCCTAGCAGAGCAGGATGGGAGCCAAAGCATCGTTGCCCTGGCCGCTGAGCTCCAGGCCACCAGGCATGAATCTGCTGCTGTCAGGAGTCGAGCTGAAGTGCAGATGAAGAGGATTTGGGGAGAAAAAGAGAAAAAGATTTTGGAAGATGCAGTGCATAATTTGAAGAAGCAGTGGGAAGCCTTGGAGCCATTAAACTTGCAGTTGGAAAGTCATATTAAGAAGTGTGACATAAAGAACAAGCTGAAGGAGACGCTTGTGTGGGTCAGGAATCTGTCCGGTGAACTCACGCTTCCCGTTTCCCTTCTTCCTGAAGACATCCTTTCACAGCTCAGAAGATGCAAGGTGATATGTGGTGACATTCTGGACAAGCAGCAGGCCATGGAGGCCTTGGTTGATGAGGTTCGAGCTCTTGTTCCTAGCCTTACCGCATGTGAGAGAGAGAATTTAAATAGCATCCTGGAGGACTTACAGAACCAGTACCAAATGCTAGTTTTAAAATCAACTCAGAGGTCTCAGCAATTAGAGTTTAAATTGGAAGAAAGAAGCAAATTATTTGAAATGATGAGGGAGGCTCAGCTGGCTCTTCGAGGACATGAAGCTCTGATAATTCCCAACACAGACACGGCCCCCACAGAAGCCGAACTGGAGCATCGCCATGCGGCTCTGAGAGCATCCCAGAAGGGCCTGCAGGAGGTTGAGAGTCTGATATCAGCACGTCTTCAGGAGCTAACAGACGTCTATGAGGATCTTAGTGTGTTTGAGAGATTATTTTTGCATAATCATTTGAATAATCTGAAGACTGGAGTTAACAGAATTCAAAGATGCATTCAGAGTAAGTGCAATGAAGTAGAACACAAGGTAAGTTCTTACAGAGAATTTCATGAAAGCAAATCCATGCTTCAGGAGGAGCTTGACAGCATCCAGCACAGCGACCTACCACTGAATCCAGAAACCAGTCAAGACCGCAAAGAGGAGTTTCAGCGTCTTAAGGACAGACTTGCTGGTATTCGGTGTAGCATCTTACGAGTCCTGAAACTTAGAGAGGTGTTTGACGATGCAGGACTGAGCTGGGATGGTTCGCAGCTTGACCAGTTACAAACCCAAGTGTTAGCAAAAGAAAAGGAACTTGAAGAAAAAGTCAAGCAGTTGGATGTATTTGTGACAGAACATGGCAAATACCAAGCATTGCTGAGTCAAATGAGGGCTACGGATTTGCAAATTAAAAAAAAGGCTGAATTAGTGCTAAAATCTCCTACTCCTTCACCAGAAAGCAGTCTTCTCGGTGCTCAAATTTTGACTGAGAAAACTAAGAAAGCCCAGCGCTTATATAATGACATAATTGAAAGATTGAGTAAAAATAATGCCTTCGAAGATTCATTCAAAGAAAAAGAAATTGAAAAGCTAAAGCTGGCAGCTGAAGAAAATGCTGAGTTGCACAGGGCTCTCCAAAACGTGGTACAGTTCCAGCCCGAGGAAGTAGATGAAAAGCGTTTTCAAGACAAACTGGAAAATTCTTTACATGTTTTGAATGGGATAAAATCTCAACTAGAGCAGCCTCTGCTTATAAATTTGGACATTAGTCATATTCAGAATGAGAAGGATAATTGTGAAACACTTCAGGACCAAGTTCATGCTGCCTTGTACAGTGTCAGAGCTGTGACTCTTGCCAAGAAGCAGAGAGAGGAAAGCTCCTCTGACCCTAGTGACGTGGAAACAAAGTTGCATGACGTGGAAGATCTTCAGATGCAGCTTAGCAAAAACATTGACTTACGCACAGTAAGTTCTTTTTAAAGTAGTCATTAAATGCATCGGTATTTCATGGTCTTGTTTCATTTTACTCTAGTTGATACCTCTACTTCTAAAGCAGCTACAATTTCTACAAGGAAATAGCTGTTTTCAAAAATCCAGTGAACCACTTGGGTAATCTTGACCCATTCTACTTTAGAATTCGACCTGTCATAGTGTGGAGAGGGACACAACTGACGTCTTGTTATTTCTGTTTCCCTTGTAGCCCCGATTGAACTGAGAAGAACACTTAGGGGGTTTTTGTTACTGTTGTTTGTTTTGTTTTTAGAGATAGGTAGTGAGATGACAAAAGATGTACAGATGGAAGAACATGTTAAAATTTACAGTGTGCTAAGCGCAACTCTAACTGCTCTGTGTTTCATCTTCACAGCGAGAGGTGATTGCCATTGTGAGCCTTGATTAAAGGAAAATTAAGGAGTTTGGAGAGTAACTCAGTAGTAGAGTATACAATCATGCAATCATGTACAGGTCCCTGTGTGCAATTTCCTATACCACAACAATGATAAAATAGGAAAATTTGAACTCAGAAACATGAAATTTTTTTTTCAGTGTCTTGAAAGATTAACAGAATGAGGGATGAATTGAGATCTCTCTGAGTCTAGATCAGGAATCGTCAAATTAAGCGCTAGAAGCCAAATCCTGACCATGCTACCTGACTTAAAAATAAAGTTTTATCGAAACACAGCTGCCCACATTTGTTGGTGAGCTGGACATGGCTGCTTTGCGTTCCAGCAGCAGAGCTGGTATTGCAGACCTTTGCTGGCCTCTGGTGAAGAGTGACTCCAGCATACTCCTGACTTTGCTTCTGACAGCTGGGCAGATATCTTAGACATTATTTATGCTGTACTATATAATTCTTTTCACAGTCTTGTATCACAGTTAACTTGCAAAATGGAGAAATTAACTTGATTCAAACATTATTAGATAATGCATTTGAAATATTTTGATAGATGTAAATGCTATAGAAAATGAAGTCATGTGATGAATCCTAATATGTTGTTTAAATAGATTCACGATGAATGTTGGGTAATTCAAGACCTTTCGGTTTTAATAGACTTTCAAGAAATAATTGCTATAGTCACCATAAAGATAAGAAGTGGATGGGAGGGGACCTTTACAGTCAATGACCTCTTCATTATCTTAATGGCAAAACCAAGGTCCAAGGCTCCTCCATGATAAACCTGAACTAAAATGAGTAACACAACAGTTGCCTTAAAAACACAAGAGAGGGGCTGGTGAGATGGCTCAGTGGTCTAAAGCACCTATTTAGAACAAGCTTAGCAAAGCACAGGGACTGCAGTTCAATCCCCCAGCACCACATGCCAGCCAGCCCCGCCCCCTGGTGGGCTGAGCTGGCCACACACACACACACACACACACACACACACACACAAATAAATAAAATAAAAACACAAGAGAACCTGGAGTCCTTTGATCGCAGCCTTTCATCTCTTATTCTCCAGAATGTCCTGAATAGTGCTTGTGAAAATCTCACGTGCTATGGTGAAGCCGTCAGCAGGGCCATGGGAATCCTGGCATCCCTCAAAGCCGCATTTGTGTCCTGCACAGTGGACCTGCACGATCCAGAGGAATCACTGGCCAGGTCTGGTTGGAAGCAAGAGGAGTTGGAATCCACAATAATGCTCATCAAAGACCTCACTGAGAAACTGGGATCTGTGTCCAGTCCAGAGGCCAAAATGCAGCTTCAGCACACTCTGCAGGACCTCGTTTCTAGGAGCCTGCCCTTGAAAGAGGCAGCCGCTGCACAGGAAGCAGAGGTGGCCAGGCAAGTCTTTGTGGAAGTCTTTTGACTGTGAAGTGTAGGGTTTTTGCTTTATACTTGGTATGTATGCATTGGAGATAATTTGCACGATATGGAGAAGGAAAAATGAATGTGTCACTAAAGAAAACCATGATAAAATTTATTTATTTATTTATTTATTTATTTATTTTGAGACAGGGTCTCGCTACACAGTTTGGGCTGGCCCTGTGCTCACTTTTGTAGCCCCCAGGCTAATCTTGAACTCACAGCAATCTTCCTGTCTCAGCCTCATGAGCCCTGGGATTACAGGCGTGTGCCGCCAGGCCCTGTTCTGGGTCCAGCACAGCACATGGAAGGTTCCAGGACCGGAATGGCATGCAGTACCAGAGATCAAACTTGAACCTTGCACTTGCCAGGCAGGCGCTTATGCCACTGAACTATCTCCCCAGCCCCATGATACATTTTGTACTCTAATTCTTTTCTATTTAGATATTGGTTACATTGAGCAGAATGTTTATTGAAGTATGTATAGGACATAAAGAGATAAAATAATTTTGGTTTGGTTTTGGTTTTTTTTTTGTTTTGTTTTGTTTTTTTTGCGGAACCGGGGTTTGAACTCAGGCCCCTCCGCTTGCCAGGGAAGCACTGGTTTTGGCTTTTTTGATACTGGGGATCAAACTCGGGATCTTGCGCTTGCCAGGCAGGTGCTTATGCTACTGAGCTACATGCCCAGCCCAAAATAAACATGTTGTACCCAAAGTTTCAAAGATAAACGTCATTAATTTAATTCTTTCACGTGTTCTCTCTCTGCTCAGAACTATTTTTCTCTCCCCTCTTGGAGCTATTAATTCAAATCTGTTTGTCTTCTCCCTGCTTTTCATCATACTGTTAGTGTGGATGTGTTCTATCAGTGACTTTTAAGCCAGCACCTACTGTGTATTCTGTCACTTTTTGAAACTCATAATTATGACTCATGTCCTAGCCTGTAGTAAAAACTGTGTACTTGGCTATCAGTGGACATTTGCATTATTTTCAGTTTTGTTTAATTTTGCCCTCATAGAGTACCCGTAGGAACATTTTTAAATGTAAGAGTTTTCCATGGAATGTATTTAAGGGTGGATGCCTATGTGAACAGATATGAGCATCCTTAATTTTTAATGGCAAATAAAATAATCCAGTTGTCTCATACCCATACTAGTTATTCTTGTCAGTCTAATGAGTAAGAATTAATCTCATTGTGGTTTTATTTGCATTTCTCTCACTGCTGAGCTCGATCTGAGTATCTGTTGATCAGCCATAGTTCTTCGGTGAAACGTCTGTGCGACCCTTTATCTGGATTTATTGGGTTATTTTCTTACTACTTTGTATGAATTTAGTCTGTAAGGGCCAGTCAGTCCTTCATAGTTGTGTACTAAAATATTCTTCACAGACAGAGTTCTCTATTAAACAGCTATTCAGCCCATGCAGGCCTGCGTGGTAAGAGTCGGAGGAAAGTAAAACTCACAACTACTCTCCAGGCAGCGAAAGCTTGGAGCCACAACTTTGCCTGTTTGTGCAGGGTTGGGGTCCTTAATTTCTTGCCAGGTTATTGGTGTGCTTATTTGGTTTAAAAGCACATTTGATGCAGATTTGTAAATTATTCTCTGTGGGTGTTTGAGGTCAGTGCATTTTACATACATAATTTTAATAGTGTTTTATATACAACATGTATATAAATAGCCTACTTTAATTTTTTGCCTTTTTCTTATCGTGACAGACCATTTATACAGACAATTGTAATGGTTATGAAAAACTTTATAAAATGGTTTCTGATAATTTAACTTGTTTGTTAGATAGAGGTTTTGCAGAGGAATAAGATTTTACTGTGCAAAAGATTTTATCTGTTATGTTTTAGGAAGTTTCTTATATTTAGGATTAGTTCCTTAAGGTAGATTGCAGAAGCTGAATTAATGAACCAAAAGAGAAGAGCATTTTTAGACTTAGTGGGTTTCTACATGAATTGTACCCATTTATAGATCACTAGGAATGCCTACAAATGCAAGTTTTTGCTTTAATGAAAAGAACTCTTTTTTTAAAAGCTCTCCAAGTTGTTTTGAAGGCAGCCTTATATGCTAGTTAAAGTTTGTGTTTAAAGTGATCCATAAGCCCCTCTGAGGATGGGTAATCAATAAAGACGTGTCAAAATGCCTTGAATGGCGTAAGAAAAGAAAATGATCTTCTCATTTTTTAAAAAAAGTTGAATTTGGAAAATTCGACTTTGGGGAGCTCAACATTGTGTTCATAAAATGTGATACCATTTTTCCTCTGTCTGTGTCACAGATGTCTTGAGGATTACAGATGCTACAGAAGCGCTAAAGAAGACATGTGTACTCGCCTCCAGAAAGCAGAGACCACCCTGAGGCTCGCCGTGTGCCTGCTGCCCGTGTCTTATAAAGAAGCTCTGGGGCGCTTGGAGCAGAGCAGGGTAATGGCCCATGCGGGCCCCAGCGAGTCTGGGTGGCACTTGACATTTAGCACAGCATGGGGAGCGGCACAGAGTGGGGCTGTGTCCCACCCCACGGAAATCCTCAGCCTGAGCTGAGACCTGTGACGATTCCTCCAGCCGGAAGCTGGAGAGAAAAACACAGAGCAGTGGTTCTGAGAGGTGTAATGATCCGGATTCGCCGGGCAGAACCCCCCTGCGGGCAGCCTGAGCTTGGGGGTGGCCTTCTGGAACCTTCGCTTTCCATTATTTTGAGGGATCCTGCTGGATTAGTAACAGAGCCGCAGCGAGGGAGCTGTCGCCATCCTTGCTCACCTGAATTTGTCACCTTATACTCCCACTAAGCAATTCAGGTTTTTCCTTATTGTCATGTTGGAATCAGGGGTATTATTTTAGCATTTGGATGAGGGCATTTGAAGTCACCTGTGCTTAACATTTCCCCCAAAACGGACACTAAAAAAAAATTTAAATTGTGTTGATATTTGTACAGTAAATGTACAGATGAACTACCTAGTAAATTATGAGACTTAAGTTAAAATCATAAAATGCCCTTTTAGAATATTTACCATTGAAAATGCATTCTAACATGCAAGTTTTGGTTTATGGGTCACTATTTGTCCCCATGGTCCCACGCTCGCCCAGGACAGAATACATAGTTCCTCAGGCCAGATGAACTTCTGAAGGACAAGAAATGGAACGTATGATACTTGTAGGGGATTAAAATCATTAATTGTTCAAAATTTGAGATTATTTCTAGGTCTCAGGAAAGAATGAGACATCCGACCCTCTATCTCTTGTCTTTTCTTTCCCAAGGCCCTGGTGTCCGATCTCGTGTCCGCCGAGGAGGGGCTGATGCAGCTGCGCAGGGCCGCCCAGCGCCTGGGGCGCAGGTGCACGGAGGGCGCCGGCGAGGGCGTGCGCGGGGCCCCGGCGGCGGCGCTGTGGGAGCGCTGGCTCTGCGCGCTGGAGGCCGCCAGGGAGTGGGCGCTGTGCAGCGAGCACTTGGCGCAGGAGTGGAAGTGCATCAGCGAGGAAGTGAGTGTCGCGTGTTAGCGCCGGACAAGTATTATGCCGCTCATGACCACCACTTTGTGTCGTGACGATTCTGGTCACAAACCGAATGGGACAAGAACCAAATCAAATTTGACCCTGCTTAGGGTCAGGGATATAGCCCAGGAACACAGTGCCTACCTGGCAAGCCCAAGGTCTTGACTTCGATTCCTGGTACCAAAAAAAAGGCTGCAGATTGAATGCTCAGGTTCACTGTTGACGTTATGGGGAAATTTTACTCGGTTCTCATCCAATTCAATTTGCAACCAGAACTGTGGAAAGGATCAAGTTGGTGAACAAGGTACCGCTACATATCCCATGAGATTGTTTTATGATCGTGGTTTTAAAAATATACATGAAATATGTAAAAATATGTATCAGATAATTCTTATAAATGAGTGACTACTTGCTGGTTGGAAATTTTAAAATCTTTATTGTGAAGATAAGTTAACACCTCTTAAAAAAATAACTGTCTCTCCATTCATTATACTAGAGGTTAGAATTAGACAGTGTGCATAATAATCTACTAATTTTGAAATTAGCCACAATTGTTAGCTATGGAAATTAGCTGCAGTTGTTAAGCGTGGACTTGAAGATACAAGGTACAGTGTTCTCTCTGAAAAATACCTCCGAGAAGACCTCGCTAATACAGCCCAATCACGGTGTCAGTTTAATCATGGCTTAGGATTTGGGCTTCACATACATAAAGAAAATTAAAAATTGTGCAAAATTGTCCTAGATGATACTGTAATCTTATCAAAGGGCCAGGTTTAAATGAGGTACAATTGAGAACATTAAATGAAAACCTTTCTCATTCATTTCATAACTTTTGCTGAAGTTACTTAAGATAGAAATATAGATGAATCGATACTTAATTGTAGGGAAGTCATGTGCTCTGAGATTGAAGTTGTAAGCACTGTGTTAATCTGCATGGAATTTGGTGTTCTGGAAAACGAGTGGCATTTGAGTGGTGCTGGTGAGGTTTGATTAGGGAGCAATCTCTTCAAGGTTCCAGCTGTGAGGAACTTGGGAAATGACCCCTTTTCTGAGTCCCACTGTCGCCGCTGAGGAGAGCTCAGGCAGTGGCTTGGCCTCGGGAGGTAAATGACTGATACCATTGTGTAATTGGAGCCTGAGCCCCACACATCGGGCAGTGGCCTGCGAGCCCCTGTGGGCTGAGGTGGGGCTCGGCCTCGCCACCGGCCCTGCTGCAGCCTTCCACTTGCTGGGACCTTTGAAAACATTTGTTGAGGGATGGCTCTTACTCAAATCCAGTTTGGACTAATTCCAAACTTTGTTCTTCTCGCTTTGTTTTATCCCTGGTTCCAAGGATTTTTTTTGTCTTGATTTTTTGACACAAGGTCTTGCTATGTAGTTCAGGCTGGACTCAAACTTGCCAAAGTCTTCCTCCTCAGCCTCCTGAGTGCTGGGGTTGCAGGCATGTACCACCAGGCCCGGCTGCTTTTTATTTTATCACAACATTGCGTTCTACCAATCTGCAGCCACATCTTATTAACTCTGACCATTCAGAGTTTTTTAGTCATTCATACAAACATTTGACAAAATCTGCTAACACAGTGTATTTTTGGAAGGGTAGCATAAGCAAAGGACCTCATGTAATACAATAACAGTTACTAGAAGAACAGAGATGGTTCTGAGCGCTGGGTTAAGGTTTTATCACGTCATACGCATTACTGTCTCCTTTGCCCTCATAGGAATCCAAAATAGCTCTTCATCAGTCTTATCTATTTATATTGATAAATCTATATGGGTATGTGTACATACACGTGTGTGTGTGTGTGTGTGTGTGTGTGTGTGTGTGTGTGTGTGTAATACATACTGCAGCCTCCCAAGTAGCTGGGACTGTAGGAACACCACTATACCTGGCTTCTCTGTTACATTTGCATGCATCAAAATGATACATACTTTTTGTCTTTTGGGGCTCACAGCCAGGGCCTTGCACACACTAGGCAAGTGCTGCACCCCCACTCTCATGTACGAGTTCAAATGGGCTCTTATCCTCCCAGTAAAACTTACATCGTCCAAACATCTGCACCTGTAAGATTCTCTGAGCATGGTTGGTGCCTTCACATGTGACAAAAGAAACTTCTGCTTTTTAAATATTTAAAGTAGTATAAGCATTTGAAATACACAATAGGATTTTTTGAAACCTGAAATGCCCAGCTTATACATTTACAAATTAAAAAAGAAATTTAATTTTTTATTTAACTTTTGCCCCTTCCAATCTTTCTGTTTTATAAACAGAATGTAGTTGGCATAATTATTAACTTCTAGTTATCCAGGATAATCACTTATTTTAGGTGTCACTGATCTTAGTGTGGTAGAATAAAGCCAAGTCTTCGGGGATAATTGGAGATGGAAGCCTGGCTTCTTTCTTTATTTTACTCTTGTCCAGAGAGACTGCCTGAAACTGAGATTTTTTTTTTTTTTTTTTTTTTTTTGGTGGAACCGGGGATTGAACTCAGGTCCTTGTGCTTGCCAGGGAAGCGCTTATTCCGCTAAGCCATCTCCCCAGCCCTGGCTTCTTTCACTTGTACCAAAAGTCGTTTCTTTGTTAGCTCCTGTCACAGTAGTTCTGGGTTTTTAATTATTTCCCTGTGATAGCTTTTGGTACAGCTAAGATATCCCTCCCCCGCTCTCTCCTTTTTTCACATCCTCTTTTCTTTCTTTTCTGCTGCTGCATCTCTTCCTCCCTCCCTCTCTTCCTCTTCTTTCTCAGTACTGTAGATTAAACTCAGGATTTTCACACTGGCCTAAACTCACCTCAATCCTCCTACCTCAGCTTCCCGAGGGCTGGATTACAGGCATGCGCCACCACACACAGCTATTTTAAAATTTTGTGACAGGGTCTTGCTGGGTCACCAAGTTGCCAAGGCTAGGACAGAACTTGTGCTCCCCTTACCTCTCTGCCCAGTACTGGGAGAACTGCCGTGCACCACCACATCCAGCCTCTGCTCTTTCGTAACTTTTCTTTATAATTGACTGAGAATAAATGTTTTATGGCCAGTTTTATTCTGATTCTAAATCCAAGGAAAATCCAGGAGTTGAAGAGCCCTTTGAAGATGACTAAGTAGATGTATAATCTTCACAACATTTATTTGACTGTTTAGAGAACTTTGTCCCCAAAGCAATAAAAACTTAGCATAAAATTTGTTGAGCGTTGACACATGCGTGCAGCCACATGACCATCATCAAAACCAAGATTTAGAACATTTTCACATTCCCTAAAACTCTCCCCGTGTCCCTTCACGTAACCCATTTCTTTTCTTGGAATTTTTCCTTTTCCAAAACATATAACATGAGCTCACCTGGCCTGTCACTTTTGGCTTCTCTTCTCTAAGAATAATGCATTTGAAATCCGTTCTTGGTACTGTTTCTCTCTGTAGTTGATCTGTTACTTATTTCCCAGTAGGGTTCTGCTGGCTGGGGGAAGCACGGTGTATCAATTCACAAGATGAAGGATTGCCTGGCTTTTGAGTAAAATTATCATCTTACTAGGACTTGTTCTCGGGCTGGGGTTAGCCCCGTATGGGAGCCCTTGCCGCCCATGTGCATGAGGGCCCGGGCTCGAGACCTAGCTCTGCCCTACAAGGTTCCCCTTTGGGTTCTCTCCTCAGTCACTCACCACTTAGAGCAGGCAGCAGAGCCTGGGACTGGGGCTGCTTGGCAGGTGCTTCACTTTGGAAAGAGACACGAGTAGGGACACCAGTAGGAACTAGGAGCCCAGAAACAGGAGAGGTCTGTGCACTTAGGCCCTTGGCTGTGAGTGAATCCCTGTCGCAGCATTTGCCCGTCTGTGGTTGTCACCACGTAGGCAAACACCAGGAGAGGCTCCGGGACAGCAGACGTGGCTCTTTGAATCTAGTGCGTACCGGAAGCGCCCATCAGCATGGCAGCTCCCTTATCTGTGAGGCGCTGGTCGAGAAGTTGGACGCAGTGATCTGTGGAACCTCATCCCATGCCCGGGATCCATACGGCTGGCTGCCCTGCGCTGCCCACCGTCCCTGACTTCCAGCTAGCTATGCTTAGGTGTGAGGAGCCCGGAAGAGTCGGCTCCCATAGCTAGGTCCACATTTGTACCCTCAAGTGCAGAGCACGGGGACCTACATGGGTCACGAGGCGCGCGTGGCCGCCCCGCCGCTCTGCCTCATTCTTGCCACTTTGGGCTCACCTTTTCCATTTTTTGCCGCTCAACATTGGCAGCATTGTTCATAATGGATCTGATAAATGGATCCAGCGTACCATCCATGACCTCTGAGATCTGTCTGTCTGGGACTGATGAGGCTCCCAACCTCCTACGTGAGTTTCAGTGAAGGCTTAAATGAAGACACAGTGGAATATGATTTGGGAGCATCCAGGAAAGTCAGAGCTCTCTGGGAGCTAAGACCCCGGATTGCTTGTATGCATTGGGGTTTTCATGGGGGTACAGAACGAGGAGGGCACATTGGATGCAAAAGCTCTCAGAAATGACCGGGGCCTTGAGAAACAAAGGCAGTCAGTCTTCCCCATTAAGAGAACTGCTTGATCTCTGAGCCTGGCAGCTTTATTGCTCTAGGCCGGGGCGTGTGAGCAGCTGGCAGGCACAGCACAGTTACCTTGCCCAAGGCAGGCAGAGGTCCCTTCACGGTCAGCTGCTCTACCCCATAGAGCTCCGTCTCCACACAAGATCCAAAAGGCCAACCCAGCGCTCCTTTCTTAATGATAGAGTCCAGAGGGGAGAAGCTTTGACAGGCATGGTGGCACGTCCCTGTAATCTCAGCTACCTGGGAGGCTGAGACAGGGGTTCACATGTTGGAGATCAGCCTGGGTGTGAAAATTTTAAAAAAGCTGAAGATGAAGCCCAGTATTGCAGTACTTGCCTGTGCTGAGTGAGGCCCTGGGTCCAGCCCCTAAACTGAATGGAGACGGAAGTTGGAGGCCTTGGATGCCTCAGACCACCAGGCCCTGGAAACTCCCTTGATGCTGGGCCTCCTGCCTTCCCGTGGGCTTTCTTTCTCTGCCCCGGCCCATCCTACTGGATGTCCAGGGCTGTGCTCATCATTTTAGTTACTGTGAGTACAGCCCACTGGGGTGGTGCACTCCCACTGCAGATGTACCACACCAGAGCAGGAGAGTTAACGTGACACAGGCAGGAGGAGATAGATTCATAATGCAGCCAAAGGGAGGACCAGAGGGTGTGCATAGGAGCACAGGAACCCTCCAATGCAGGGCCCTTGGAGACTTCTATGTCTTTGTTCAGGGCTGTAGAGATGCTAGTTTCCAGATACACGTTGAAATAAGTTATATGTTTCTGGCTGATGCCAGTGGTTTAGTGAGTACATGATGGGTTCAGTCATTCTGGCTACTTTCTCGCTGGCAGGTGTCGTGTTAATAGGGTCTCCTAGATGTAGCTTTGAAACAGACCAAGCAAGATGGGAAGAAAAGAAAAGAGACCTGCAGAAATGCCTCTGTTTCCAGCAGTTGCCCACCCTCTGACAGGGGAAGCAGTTTTGTGGGGCGTTTTTAACTCATGGATCTCTTCGGAGAAGAGATTGTTGCGTAACGCAGCCGAAACCTGAAACAGAGATGAACTACTTTAACTCTTGAGCAACAGGGGTCAGGGAGATAGCTCAGTGGAATAAGTGCTTGCCTGGCAAGGGCAAGCTCCTGAGTTTGATCCCTGATACCACCAAAAAAAGAAAGAAATCTTCAACAACAATTGCCTCAGCCCACAGCAGCAACTAGTGCCTGCTAGCACAGGGCTACTATTCCCAGCTTTGAAGAGCAAATATCACTTTGAACTCAGACATGATAATAAGAACCTTTCAGGGGGCGGGGAGGTGGCTCAGTGGAATAAGCACTTCCCTGGCAAGTACAAGGGCCTGAGTTCAATCTCTGGCTCCACCAAAAAAAAAAAAAAAAAAAAAAAAAAAACTTCAAAGAGAACATATTCAAATTTTTTTAATGTGTATTCAAAAATAATGGCTCCCCGGGGACATTTCTGGTCCGAGTAGTGGCAAGAGTATGTTTTACTTACTATTGCTCTGTTGTTGTTGGTACTGAATTAGGTTAAACGAGAAGCAATTATTCTAGAAAATCTTCAAGAGGAACTCCCAGAAATTTCTCAAATGAAAGAGGCCGCCAGCACAGAGGCACTGTCTGAGGCGCTGGCCTCCCTGTGCCAGTGCGAGGAGAGTGTGCAGAAGCAGCAGCTGGTGCTGACTCTGCTCGTGCAGCGCACAAAAAGCATCCGGGATGTTCCAGAAGGTTCTGACGGGACAGGAACAGTGCGCGTCCTTCAGGAGCTCGTGTCCATGCAAGAGCGATGCAACAAGTAAGGGCTGTGGAGACCTGGGGAGGAAATGTGCTTGGCTGGGCAATATGCATATACAATAGATGTATATTATATACATATATGATACATATGTATGTATATGTAGAACAATGCCTAAGTATGCTACAGAATTGAGTCAGCAGTGATAGGCATCAAAGGGGATGACACAGGTCAATAATTATAATTTTTAAAATAATTATAATTAAAACAAGTACTGACTTTCTATTCTGGTATTACCGAGTAGAGATTCCATTCAAATTTCTTTTTAATGTCTGCTGTTTTTTTATAGGAAAATTAGAAAGTGGAGAAAAATCTTGAGGAGTAGCATAAAATGCATGCTTAATCTCATCACTTAGTAACAATGACTGCCAGTTCCTTTTATTCTCATTTGGATTTTTGTATTCTTATCTTTTTTACTGAAGAATTTCTTTTTAGGGACAGGGAGATAGCTCAGTGGCATAAGCGCCTGCCAGGCAAGAGCAAGGTCCTGAGTTCAATCCCTGGTACCACACACACACACACACTCACACACAAATTCTTCTTAAACAAATGGAGATCACACTGCTATTGTTCTCTTCTGCTACGTAATTTATCAGCATATCGTGTTTGGTTTCTAGTGCCTCATTGTTTTAAAATGTCTGTGTGTCTACCACATGAATGTCCTAGCATTTATTTAACCAAGGTCTAAGTAAGAAACTTTCCATGCAATTCTATTACTTTCATAAAAGCACTGCAGTAAATATTCTTCTACCAGAATCCCTGGGTCTGTCAGGAGATCATTGAGACAGATAGCAAGAAGTTGTAGAAACATTGGATTGGGGCTGGGGAGATGGCTCAATAGCAAGGGCCTGAGTTCAATCCCTAGTTCCACCAAAAAAAAAAAAAAAAGATAAGAAACATTGGATCATATGATAATTTTCTGGCTAGAAATGCTCTTAAAGAAAAGACTTTACTCTCTCAGCGGCACTTAGCACATACTTCGGACACCAGATACATGTGGGCGGCCAGCTGACACCAGCTGGATCTCCTGCAGTTCTGTTCTGACACCTGGACATTGCTTAGAGCCTACATTTTCAGATTTCAAACCCACAATGATGTCCCCACTTTAGAAACCATTTGGAAGTGGCTGGTGTCACTATTCTTGTGGTTGACTAGCTACCTCTGCCCCAGGTTGTTAATTCACTAGAGCAGCTCTTAGACCCAGAGGGAACATGTTTACTGCTTTATTAATAAAATATATAAATGGTACAAGGGCCGGCGAGATGGCTCATTGGACCACGTGCCTCTTAGGCAAGTGCAGGGACCAGGGTTCAATCCTTGGCACCGCATGCACTGCTGGCCCTGCCCCTGGGCATGCTAAACCGGCCACTGAGACTGGGCGTGGTGACAGACGCCTGTAATCCCAGCGCTGGGGAGGCTGAAAACAGGAGGATTACTACAAGTCCAAGCTGCCATAGTAAGACCCCGTACCAAAATACATAAAAATTTTTTTTAAAACAAATACAAATATAAAGGGTACGGCACAACAGCCAGGTAGAAGAAATATGTTGGCTAAGAGGCGTGAGAACAGAGCCAATGTGTGTTTATTGATATGTCACAGAATGTTGAATACTTGGCAGATGCGTCGACCTCGCTCGGAAGGCTGTTTCCCCCCTCAGCAGCCTCGTCCACGCTGTTCCCTCCACAGCAGTTGGGGTCAGCTGAGGAGACAAAGCCACATGGGGCTGAGTGTGCGGGGGTGCCCACCCGTCGACTCCAGGCCCAGCTCAAAGCCATTTTGGTCCAAGAGCAAGGGCCGTGAAGGACGAGGACAAGCGCTGCAGGGCGTGTGGGAGGACGTGGCGTGCGGGACAGGGAGATGGAGGGCGAGGCCTTGGGAGAGGTTGCTGAGAGAACGGAAGGGCACGTAGTGTATAAATCATTGGAAACTGGAATAAAATCTCCTTTTTTGTGTGCTGTTCAGACATTTTTATAATTGCTGCAATAAAACTATTTCACAGAAATAATTATGTTTTGGTGCTTTCTTTCAGGCTTCTTCAGAAAGCTCAAGGCAGTAAGGAACTGATACACACTGAAATCCAGGAACGACTTTCCTTCTCAAAAGAAATCGTTGCTTTGAAGAATTTATTTATGCAGAGCACAATTTCTTTGCAAAACATGGCCTCAGAGGGTCACCCCGAGTGGGCAGAGCAGTTGGAGGTAGGCGAGGGGAGGGTGATCCTGGGCCCTGCTCTGGTGTTCTGAGTCCTTGGGAGGGAGGTAGCTCACTGAGGAGGGGTGTAGAAATGTTCGGGGGGACATCCAGGGGGACAGGGAAGCACAGGCAGAGGCCCCTCGGCGTCGCCGGGCAGAGTCCTGGAGCGGACGGGTGTGGCTGGAGAGCAGGGGCGAGGGACAAGGGGTGAGTGTGGAGCCAGCCGCCTTTCTCAGCCAGGTGTGAGGTCAGCGCTCCCTCCCGTGGGTGCCCTGGCAGACTCCTCTAGGCCGCATGACGTCTCACCTCTGACGGGGGCCAGGGACTTGGAGAACTCAGTTCTTCAGAATGACCTCTTCTGTCTTTCCAGTTCCACGACAGTGGTAAAAAGTGACATTTGGTGGTGTATTTTAAAGCCTCTTGCTGCTGGGAGCTGGGACTTCTGGTTATTCATTGTTTAAAAAAAAAAAAAAAAATAGGAAACTTACAGCCCCAGAGCCCCGCTGTGAATGGAGCCTTTCCTCAGGGCCAGGCGTGGGTGACAGATGACATCCGCACCTCCAGGCCCTCCTGTGTCTGAATGCCACCACGCGCTACTGTTCCCTGTCCAGACTTGTTCAGAAAAAGAAAGCGGTGACACATCGCAGAGCCATTTAAAATTGTCATCATTCTTCAGCACGGTGACTCATTCCATTACCACAAATAATGCCCCAAACCGCTACTGTATGAACAAAACAAACAACAAAAAAGCCACAGGAAAGTCAAGAAGTATTTTTCCACTTGATCTTTGGGAACCTTTCCCAAACCAATGGGTTTCTCCTTTATATAATTACTGCGGGAGTACATAGATCAGATTTTATTTCTAGGCCACAACCAATGGGCTGTTTGTTCAGGCTTCTTTTTATCTCCTGAAACCTACATTCTTCGCGTGGAACTGGAACTCTCCCTTTTGAAAGGAGTTGAGCTCGGCCAGGCTGTCTAATTACCTGAAACGGACACTTTCGCTTGGAGCATTGAGCTTTTAGTGGCCTTGACTGGTTGTGATGATAACGTAGGAAGAAGCAGAAATAGCGACAAGTTAATAACACCACCATAAAACTTCTTTGAAACTTTTTGCTACTTGTAGCTTTCTGAATCAGGCTGGGATACAGTTAAATCTTAGAGGCACTTTAGAAGCAGGAAGGATGTTGTGATGTCTTTTTTTTTTTTTTTTTTTTCAACAATGGTTTGACACAGTGAAGAGATATCAAGTTTATTTCTTACAAATTAGAAAGTATCATCTGACTAAACTGGGTATCTCTCCGGGTTAATCAGCTTGTATCAATAGTGAGGTTTTGTCACACAGGGGTTGCTTATTTAAGTCAGGAGGACGCGCTAGAAGGTCGCTTTCACTTTTTAGAGCTAAACCTTTCCCTGTGAGTATGGAAACTCTCTCGTTTTTAGGAGCTTCAGAGCTTTGTTGAGAAAGGGAAGCTAACATTTGGGAATATTATGGAAAAACTGCGCATCAAGTATTCCGAGATGTATACCATAGTCCCTGCCGAGATTGAATCCCAGGTGGAAGAGTGCAGAAAAGCGCTAGAAGACATAGATGAGAAGGTAATAACAATGTTTGTCCTCGGGTTGCTGTTGTTGGATTGAGTAAGAAGAGAGACATCTCTTAAGGTTATTTTTGCATTTGCCCTGATTTTAGCTCTGACTGGTTTTATAGAGTTTTGTTAAATGTTGGGTTTTTTTTTTTTCATTGAATGCTGAAATAAAGATACCCTAAGTAAGTGACACAGATAACAGAATATTAGATTATGTGTATATTTTAGTTGTCTGCATGCTTAGTTTTTCTTTGTCTACATTTAAAAAGTCATACACTACCTTTTACTTGGATGATTAGTATCATTTACACTGCAGAAACATTTTGGGGCATGCTTTAAAATATATTCCCCGAAACATGTGGAAATTATGACCAAGGACAGTAAGAACACAAATTTCACAGCTCACTAGAAGTAATACTTAGAGTGTCTGTTCAATTATGATGCTAACTGAATTCTCACAAAACATACCTGGACAGATCTTCTTATACTTCAGAATGCAGATTTGAACAAGGGTAGGAGTATATTGTAGTATTGAAGACAGAGGTATTTAGCAAGACCAAGTTATTGAAATAAAAAAGGCAACTCAAACCGAATGGAAGAAAATTTTGCTTTGTTCAGCAGCCATCGAAGGCTTTTAGTGTCGCTTTTTGAAGCTCAGAATACTTAGAACTTGATAAACAATGCAGATCTTCAGCCCTCAGACCAAAAATTGTATTTCAGACTTCGTTGCTAGAATCTTATCCTTTACTTACATGACAGATTTCTTAGGAAAACCTATTCTGTATTTTAAAAAAAATGAGTAACCTAATACAGCAATTCTTTTATTTACACACAAGAAAGCCTTTTAAATGCTTTCTTGAGAAGGTTTTGGTTTTGAGAGGCTACTAAATATATTGAGAAAAACTAAATGTTGTTCTCATGAATACTTTGTGTAAAAAGGCCTACAGAGTAAGTTGATGGTAACTCATTAACCGATATTTGGGGCAGTTACTCTACTGATACAACCCCAAACCATTTAGTTGTATCACCAGAGATATGATGGTTGCTCACTTCCACTGTGAACGTGTGTTTATAACACCAAGCAGCTGGGTTTTTGTACTTATTTTTGGTTTTTAAGAAGCTGAGGGCTCTGGGCAGGAGAGACAGTATCATTGTGTGTATTTAGCCGGTTGCTTAGTTACCTCAAATGTTGATCTCTGGTGGTATAACTAAATGGTTTGGGTTTATATCAGTAGAGTAACTGCCCCAAATATCAGAAGACTTCATGTTGCGTTTGTTACACTGCCTGTAAGAAAAAAATAATACAGAATCAAAGTGAGATTGAAAAAAACTCTGGGCCAGTGAGATAGCTCAGTGATCTAACGTGCCTGCTTAGGCAAGCGTAGGGACCACAGTTCAATCCCTGGCACCACATGTTATGCCAGCCCTGCCCCCAAGATGGGCTGAGCTGGCCACCAAAAAAAAAAAAAAGAAAGAAAGAAAGAGAAGAAAAAAATTAATCTTGACTGTGGTATGGTGTGCAGGTTAGGAAAGAATCAACAGTCTGATGGGGCTAGAACCTGGAATGAAGTCTGGGAAACTGAGGTCTTCTCAGGCCAAGGTCAGCCCTGCCTTGACCTGTGTGACCTCAGCTCTGGCCCTTAGTGTGTTTGGGCTTCTGCAGCTGTGTGCTTATCTGCATGGGACACGGTTAGTCTCAGTGGCTACACAGATAGCATGCGGATTAAAAGGATTCTATGAAGTATATAGTATTATTTGGTTATTTAGTGGCTGCTTAGAGAAAGCCTATCAAAAAGAAAAGTAACACAAACTAATCCAGTATTTGCAAAATGATACATTCAGCATACATTATCTTTCCCAGGACAAGTTATTTTCTTAAGTCATTTAGATTTTTTTTTTTTTTTAACTTAAACTACCAAGAAGCTAAATTTCTGGTTGCTGGGAAAATATAAGAAACAGCCACACAAAACAGAAGATTGTTTTACCCAGATGAATATGAAGATGGAAATTACATTTTGTTTTTAAAATAGGCTTGAGAATATGTCTGGTTTTACTAAAAACAGATCTGTGCAAAGAATTTTCTGATAAACTGGAGAACTCATATAATAAATAATGTACCACACAGGAATTTTTTCACCCCATTTGATCCATAGGGACATGTTTCAAAGAGTACCCAGTAGCCTTGCCAAACACAGCACATAATTTTTTGTTATTTACACTAACCACTTTATTTCTAGATTATACTTATTTTAATTTTCTGTATTTATTTGGTACAGGCTCTCACTACAGAGCTCAGACTTGTAGTGATCCTTCTGTCTCAGCCTCCCCAGTGCTGGAATTACAGGCGTGCGCTATCACGCCTGTTTCAACAGCTGGCACATGTGCCTGGGGTTCTGGGACCTGCACAGCATGTGGTACTGGGGATCAAAACCCAGGTCCTTGCGCTTGCCAGGCAGGCGCTTAGACTGCTGAGCTATCTCCCCATCCCCTCTAGATTATATTTAGAAGGCAGGTAAACACAGCTGCCATTCATTAGTTGGCTGTGCTGCCTTATCACCAAGGTATTATCCAGTTTGACTTGGGATATATCACCAAGGCATTATCCAATTTGGCTTGAGATCCTTTTCCCGAGACCATACACATTTTTACAAGAGCAGTGAGTTTCATTTCATTATGTGGACCTGGAAGAGCGGGCCCCTCTAACCTGTGATTCTCCCCTTTGGAACAGATAAACAGTGAAGGCTTGAAGAGCTCGCCATCCTGTGGGATGGGCAGGAAGATACAGGAGATTAACAGTGGGCTCCAGCAGGTTGAGAAGATGCTGCAGGAGAAGAGCGAAAACATTGAGAAAGCCCAAGAAATTCAAAAGGTAACGCCTTCCTGGATTCACTTCACCAGGTAGTATTTCGGGTCCAATGCTCCTGCTGAGGTCAGCCGGGTCATCACCTCAGGAATTGGTGACTAACCTCCAGCTCTGCGCCTACTCTCAAAGGCCGGTAGGCGGGCCCCGTATGGGCTGGAAGGAAAGGTTACTTGGAAAGCCTCTTCCTGAAGTATGTCCTGGAACTTAGCTTGGAAAGACTGATAGCAGAATAATGCAGCAGAGTAAGAAACATATGAACGGTTTTTCTTTGGTTCTCAAGGTAATAAAGAGAAAAATAAAAAAATCCAGATGTTTTGATAAATAGGTAAAACCTTTTTTTAAATTTTATTGGTATATTTTAGATATACATGATGATCACATTCATCATAGGAAATTTGTGCTAGCACATGAGAGATCTTTTTTCCTCCATTTTTCTCTCTTTCCTTCAACTCCCTCTTCTCCTTATTTACAAAATAAAATCTTAAGGAAAAATGTACAGATGCTTAATAGTCTACCTCTGAGCTTCTAAGTAGATGCCAGCGTATGGGTTCTGATTTGCATCTACATTTTAAGGAAATACATTAATATAACTGGGAACTTTTAAAAATAGGTCCGAATGTAGCTCACTATTTGGCAGTCTTTACTGTTATATAGAAGAAACTACGTAGAAAGTCAGATTTTCCTGTTTCTTGAAAAAAAAATTTTTGAAATTATTAAACAAATAATAAAATTTGAATATTTTATGTTTGACAAACTTGAAATTGAACCTAACCTCTTAGGCAGTTTCTTCACTTGACCTTGGCCAAAAGGCCGAGAAGCAGTTCCATAGCTTGAGCAAAAGCAGCTGCTGCTCATGGCCTACAGCTGGATTTTCCTGCATCTGTGTTAATTCTGAGTAAACAGCTAGTTTTTATTAATTTTATTTTCACACTTAATAAAGTTGTTTTCCAGGTAAAATATTTACATATAAAATGTAACCAGCCCTTTTTCTATTACTTTCTTTTGTTGACAAGGTCTTGCTATGTTATCCAGGTAGAAGTCCTGGGCTCATGTAGTCCTCCTGCCTCAGCATTCCAAGTGCTGGAAATACAGGTGTGCTGCACCAGGCTCCCTTGAATAGCCCTTCTTAAATGTACTGTTCACCTCATAGCTCTTGGAAAGTTAGGGCTATTTCAACCTTTTTTGCTGTCATTCATCTCTGAAATATGTCCAGGTCTTTCTGTTCCCCTACAGCCAATTTATACTGAGATGAATACAGTTACAGTTAGGAAAAGTCAGAAAAAAAATTACTTTTCAGTTTATCAGTTTAGATCACAAATGGTTGCTAAGTGTTAAGTATGCCTGCGATGTGTTTTTTTGGACCATGGATTGAACTCGGGACCTTGCGCTTGCCAGACAGCCAGACAGGTGCTTAAGCTGCTGAGCTGTCTCCCCAGCTGCAATTCTTTTTTTTTTTTTTTTTTGTAACCGGGGATTGAACTCAGGCCCTCATGCTTGCCAGGGAAGCACTTATTCCACTGAGCCATCTCCCCGGCCCAAAGAATTGATTTTTTTTGTGCAATATTGTTTTGATAGCATTTCCAAATGCAAATACCATATGAACACTAGGAGTTGCCCCCATCCAACTTGACATCTTCATTCAGGCTGACTTGCAATTTTCTTCTCCAGAAAATATGGGATGATCTAGATCTCTGGCGTTCCAAGCTAAATGAGCTGGATTCCGAAGTTCAGGACATCGTTGAGCAGGACCCAGGACAGGCTCAGGAATGGATGGACCACCTGATGATTCCTTTCCAGAAGTATCAGCAAGTGTCACAGAGGGCAGAATCCAGAACCTCCCAGTTAAACAAGGTGGGGCTGAGGCTCACGATAGCTATGTAGTGTGTAGTAGTAGTGAGACGGGCTTAAAATGAAACAAAAATACTTGTATTCAGAAGTAGGTTTCCCTCAAATGGCCAATTATGGCTGTAGCCGGAGGTAAAGCCTTGAGGGTACAGAACTCTAGTGTTCATACAGGCTGGAAGTCTGACTGGGCAGGCTGTCACTAAAACCCAAAAGTCAGACCACACCAGGAGCCCAGGTGGTGCCTACATTCCCAGCAGGTAGCTGAAGACCAGTAAGGGGACTGAGGGAGGCACCCTCTGGAGTCCGGGGCGGGAGCCGACCAAGGGAAGGATTGCTGTTCGGGAACAAGGCCCCTCTGTGCGTCTATTCTAAGTAGGGGCTGTGGTGTGGTAAGTTGTGAAAGTCATCAGGAAAGGACAGGTGCCTAGTCTTATAAGAAATGGGATGTTACAGCTCAGGGTCTTGAAGAGTCTGGTCTAGCGTGGAGAACTAGACGAGTTGCAGTGCTGCTGTGGAACCCTTGCTGAGGCCAGTGGTGCTGCGGGAGAACTTCTTAAGTCCCTTTCACCTGTGGTCAGGATCTGTCTTAAGTGGTGGAAGGACCTTCTTCCCCTGGTGCAGGTGGCCCAGGTCCTCAAGCAGGCAGTTCACTCCTCTCTCGGGACTCCCTCAGCCCTGGTAACCAGCTTCCAGCTAAGCTTGCTACCGTGTTCCTCTCCCAGGCCACTGCAAAGATGGAGGAGTACAGTGACCTTCTGAAGAGCACTGAGGCTTGGATAGAAAATACCAGTCGTTTGCTGGCCAATCCTGCGCACTGTGACTCATCTAAGACGCTCAGTCACCGCGCCGGCGCCCTGCAGGTGAGCGCTTGCTGCAGGTCCCTGCCCCTGAGGGGCCCGCTCATGGCTGAGCTGATTGCCGCCATCCTTTTCTCTTCTCCTTACCCCTCCCCCCCCATGTTCCTTCTGATCACACTGAGTGGCAGCTGGAAGCTTGGGACAGTGGCCGGCCCTAGATAGGAATCTTGCAGACTGAGATCTGGTTCTTTTTGTCCTACTTCCTGTTTATTTTTTGGATAATTTAGCCTGTCTTCTGTGGGCCTCAGTTTTCCCATCTGTGAAGTAACAAGGCTGCACTGGATGGCTTTGATGATTTGGGGCCCCGGAAGTTACTGTGACTCCCAGTTTCTCATCCCTCCGTGTATATGACCTGCATACCCTGGAGTACTGGCCAAGATGGAAGTGTACCATTGCCTCGATCCCTCTGTGTTACATGGCTTATGGCAGCGGGATAGCGATTCTCCCACAGCCACCATCACTTGACTCCCCAGTAGCAAGTCATGTGTTCTCCTGGATGGAGGGGCCAAGCAGCCAACCTGGGAAAGGCCATGGGTTCGCACTTAGAGGCAGCTGCTCTGTGCCAACATCAACCCCATGCCAACAGCCAGCAAGAAAACAGACCTCAGTCCTGGCAGCTGAATTCTACAGACAACCAAAGTGAGCTTGGGGGAGAACCTGGAACTCCTGAGGGCTTTGTGGTGCAGTCTGGTGGCACCCTGAACAGAAGACCCAGCCAGCCAGGCCTGGCCAGACTCCTGACCTGCGAACACATCTGCTCAGACTTTATTTTTTTAAAGCAGCCATACTGGGGCAGTTAGTTACTCAGAGGTAGAACTCTTAATCTCCTAGTTCTTCCCAGTTTCAACATGGCACCGTTCTAAATCCCCTCTGCCCCTGGGGATCCACAGGGGCCCTGTGCTCCATGCCAGTTTACAGAGCCAGGTTGATGTGTTTTCCTGGTGGAGCCATGACTTGTGGGTTGGTCCAGAGGTGAGGGTAGACTGCAGTTTGATTTCGAAGGCCTGCTTTCCTTCTCTCATCCATGAGGAAGAGCTCCCTAGGAAATGCTTTACCACAGTTTTTATAGGAATCACACCTCAGCAATGATCCAAGCTCTTTTGGTATCTTTGGAATAGCACAGCTTGTTCCTGAGTGGCTGGCTTCAGGCCTCCCTCATGTTTGAGATTTGGTGGCCTGTTTTTGTCCTATGGTAAAACTTGTCAAGAGATTGCATTTTCACCTATTCGCTCAGTTTTTACTCTTGCTGTGAGCTCCCCTACCCCCATACTTGCAGTTGGCTCTGCAAATCTCTGGGGCTTATCATCTCTGTATTGACTGTTTATCTGTTTTGTTTTTTCCTAGTACCAGGTATCGAACTAAGGACCTTGCGCTTTCCAGACAGGCGCTTATCCCGCTGAGCTATATCCCCAGCCCCTTCATCTTTGTATTTATAAATGCATTTATGTTTCAGCATTTTTGAAGAATTTGCCAGGACAGGAGAAAAGAGTGATGCCCTTCTTGTCCTCTCAAATGCATTTGGTGCACTAAACATTTAAACACTACTAAGACTGGCTCAGGTGCAGGCAGCTAGACTTGTACTACCTCCTTCTAGTGAGGCAAATGTTTAAGTGTGAAAGCGTCACTGTGACTTTTGAGGACTCGCTAAGTTGCTGGACTTCATGAGCTCAAGCTGAGCAGATACTCTAGCAAATCCTCAGTACCTCCTGCAGAACCAGTTTTGTGAAATATCTCATTTGTCCTTATAATGAAAATAATTGTCCTTTACTCATGGTACTCCTTCCCATCTTCTGGCATCTCCAAGTCTGTCTGTCTTTTTAGAAAAGACTTGAAGATCTATCAGAATGCTCAGCTAAGCCTTTAAAAGTTTGTTTTAATGATACTTTAACTTTCTTCCTGGATTGCACTCGTTAAGATAAGTGTACATAGTATAAAGATGCTGTTGTAAGAGTCATTAAAACAGAAATTGTCCTTGTAAAAACAGCAAGCTAACTTGCTTTTAAATCCACTTTGTTTTCATGTGATTTACATATATTTAAATGCACCCATTTTTTAGTGTGCAGTTGGGTGACTTTTGAAAAAGTTACAGCTGTGTAACCACAAATTTTTCTGTGGTGATAGATTTTCATTTCATACGATAAATACCTGAAAGTAGGATTGCTCACTTTTATAGTATGTTGTTTAATTAAATGAAAATTGCCAGTTATTCTCCAAGATCAAGTATTAATTTTAATTCCTGTCAGCAAAGTGAATTCTAGTTGCTCTATATTTTCATTAGCACTTGATACTGTCTTAAATTTTAGCCATTTTAGTGATGTGTTTTGTTGTGGTGTAAATGATGTTTCTCTAGGAACTAATGTTTTGAATATTTATTCATATTTGATGGTATCTTAGTTCATGAACAATCTGATTCTTTGCATGAATTATCTGCTCATAAAATGAATTAGATGAGAACAATCAAATTCATTGGTTAGGTTTGATGTTGACCTTACAGGGAAATTCAATTCAGTTTTCATCCAATTTGGTCTGCAACCAGGATCATGGAAAGAATAAAGTTTGTGAACCGAGGTGCCCCCCTTCTTCCTTGGGATTTGTACACTTCTTTGTGCAATTTTTGGTGCATCTTTAAATTGAGTTGCTTGTGTTATCATTGAGTTGTAAGACTGATTTATAAGACATTCTTCAAGGGCTGGCCAAATAGCTCAGCAGATTAAAGCACCTGCTTGGTCTCTGGCCTGCTGGGCCTCTGGGGTGCACTGAGATGACAGTTGAGACTGGGTGTGGTGGCGTGCGCCTTGGGAGGCTGAACACAGGCAGATCACTATGAGTCTGATCTGTGTAGTGAGACCCTGTAGGCCCTCTACTTAACTACAAAAATAAAATATTCTTCAAACGACTTCTGTGACATATATGTAATTTACAGTATTTTGTGATAACGTGACTTACAATGTTTTACATGTTACTTTTTGTGGTGTATCTAAGAAACACTTAACCCAGTGTCACAGAGTTCTTCTAGAGATTACATCATATTACCTCTTACTTCCATTATCCAAAAAATTGTTATGTATGGTGTGAATCAAGGGTCAGCATTCATTTTCCCCCATAGTGATATCAAATTATTCCAGCATTATATATTAAAAAGACCTCCACCACTAAATTACTTTGGCATCATTTTTTGAAATACTTGGCCTCATAGATGTCATTCTATTTCTTGATTATGTCTTCTGTTCAATTGATTTGTTCATTTAATACTATGACAGTCTTAATTCTTATAGCTTTGTCTTAGTTTTCTCTCGTTGCTGGGACAAAATACCCAAGGTTTGTGAAAGTTTCAGTCCATAATCAGCTGGCTGCAAGGCAGAGTTGCACAGGGCAGAGGGCAGTGGTTCATAGTGGCAGAAGACAGCAAAGAACAAGAGCAAAAAGGGAGGAGCAACAGCCGCTGCAGCAGCTAGGCTGCCTCTCTCCCTTCCTTACATAATTTCAGGCTGTCCGCCCCAGGGATAGCCTGTGAGGGAAGCATTCACACCCATAACCTCCACAGGGGACCATGAATTAATCGCAAACTCTAGGAAAGCCATATTAATATGCTGAGCTGTAAAAGGCTCAAGTCAACAACTTCTGACATTGCCAGTCATGCAGATACCACCACTATTATGGACTACTGGACTATTATTGGATTATTTTGCTGAATTCACACACCTGCAATATTTGAGTGGCGATGGAATACCCATCTCTGACAAAACTAAACAGAAAGGGATATAAATGAAAGACCATTTTGTAGTGAAAGAAATACGTAAGTATATCTGTATATATAAAATAGTAAGGACAGATATACAGCTAATTTCTCTTAGTTCAATGAGAAGAAAGGTTTGTACTAATAGTGTTTAGATAAGATGTCATGCCTGCATCTTGTACTATGAATAACTACTACGAAGACAACAATACGCAATGTATTAACTATTGTAACTGTCCTTCGAACCTGTTTTGAAACTCTCATTGCTCTTTCTTTCTCAGTAAAATTAATTAAAAGCAAAAATAACTTTTTTGAAGTGATGTAATAAATTTAGCTCTTCAGAATCCCTATAATAAAAGATATGATTAAAAAGAAAATCACAAACTCTAGAAGCCTGCCCCAATAACTGCATGAGGCTGGGGGGCACAACAAAAACAAATTATAACAAACTTTTTTTTCCCTTAGCATTTAAAAAAAACATTTATTCATTTATTTATTTATTTGATACAGGGTTTCGCTACTAGTACAGACGCATAATGGGCCTTCTCTCTCAGCCTCCCTAGTGCTGGGATTGCAGGCATGCCTACCACACCCAGTTTTAGGGTTGGCATGGTGCACCTGGGATTCAGGGGCCAGCCTGGCATGCAGTACTGGGGATCAGACTGAGGTCCTTGCACTTGCCACTCAGGTGCTTAGACCACCAAGCTCTCTCCCCAGCCCATGACAAGCTTTATAGTAAATCTTGAAATCAAGTAGCATAAATTCCATGATTTTGTTCTTTTTCAAATTTGTTGTGGCTGATCTTATTCTTTTATATTTCCATATGAATCTTAGAAGCAGCTTATAAATTTCTATTTAGAGATCTTCAGCCTTGGGAAAAAGGGGGGGGGGAAAGGATGGAAAGAAACCCTAAGTTTGAGAGTTAATACATGTTTGATTTTCTTTTTGAGACAGGGTCTCACTATTCAATTGAGACTGGCCTTGAATTGAGCTCACTTTGGAGCCCAGGCTGGTTTCAAGCTCACAAGGATCCTCCTGCCTCAGCCTCTGGAGTGCTGGAATTACAGGCGTGTGCTACCACATGTGACCCTAAAGGGCTTTCTTGGCCTGTATCCACCAAGAGATTCTAAGTGTTTTAGGAGCTTTCTGCTAGGAAATTAGGATGAAACCCAAATAAATAAATTTCTTATTATAAGGTGGGCATTCATAACTTGAAAATCTGAAATTTGGGTTTAAGAGTAGGAAAACTTTTTCCTACTCCTGAGACAGGAGGGGACCAGGCAATTTGCCCAAAGCTCTGAAATTTGAAATGTTCCCAAATCTGAAACATTTAGTGCCCACCTAATATACAGCTTGTCCTCACATGATGGTCGCAGTCCAAACACAGACTAAAAAAGTGCTGTGTAATACTACCTTCCAATGGTGTGTCTGTGTTGAGTGTGTCAAGTTTGTCCTTCCCCCCGGGACCTATCCTCAACATATTGTATTACATATATGCAGATAATTCAAAATCTGAAGAAATTTAAAGTCCAACGTGCTTTTAATCCCAAGCCTCTCTAAGTCACCCCCTCCCACTGACAATAGAGAGAGTTTAGTGTTTTCAGAATAAAAATGGAAATGACCACAAGTTTGAAATGGTCACAAATTAAAATTTTCTCTGATTTAAATTTTAATTGACTTGACCCTTTTCCGTTTCCCCCTTTCTTGTTTCTCTATCTAGATTGCTCTGGAAGATTCTGAGCAGAAGCACAATCTTTTACTTTCAATTTTCACGGATCTAGAAGATTTGTCAGTCATTTTTGAAACAGGCAATTTAATACAGTCCATTCAAGAGTTAAGTAATCAAGTGGCAGCTTTACAGCAACAAATAATGGAAAGCCTTCCACATATCCAGCGAGTAGCTGATGTGAGTTTATACCATAAAGAGGAGATTTCTCCTTTTTATTTATTTTGTTTGCAACTTAGAGACATGTCATTAATCACAGTCTAATCCTGTGACTGCACATCAAGCTCCCATAGTTTTAATTTCCATTCTTTTCTCTCTGGATCCCACAGTATAACTACAACCAAAAAAAAAAAAAAGAGAGAGAGAGAGAGAGAGAGAGAGAGAAGATAAGCTCATTATTTTCTCTTTGTCAGAGAAGAAATACTGTTAATTTAAAAGCACTAATTATAAGAGAATGGGGTGCTGGGGATATAGCTCAGTGGTAGAGACCTTGCCTAGTCTGGCTGGGCCCTTGGTGCCATACCCATTGCTGCAATCAGTCTGTCAGTATTTATAAAGAGGCTGCAGTGTCAGCCACTCGATTATTTTGGGGGCTGCTGGGCATAAAGCCCAGGGCCTTGCAGGTATTTGTCAAGCCCTATACCACTAACCTATACCCTAGTCCCCAGATTTTTAAGTGTTTTATTGTTGCTTGAACTAGATGAGGCATTCACTTAAATATTGTCCCCAGTGAAGGCAGTTGTACACTTAACTGTTTACCTTTTGGATATTCCCTGTACCTCGCTCGTAACTTTAGGAAATAATAACTGTGGAAGGAAATTCTTGGCTACTAACATCAATTCCCCAAAGTTTTAAGCAGCTTCTATAATTTCTGATAAAAATTATCTTGAAATGCATGGTATATTTTTATCCCAGATTTTATTTTATTTTATTTTTTGCAAAATGGGGGATTGAACTCAGGTCCTTGCCCTTGTCAGGCAAGCACTTATTCTACTGAGCCATTCCCTGGCCCCCTGCATGGTATATTTTTAAATACTTCCTTACATAGTAGGGGCAGGAAACAAGTCCAGTGTAATGTCTTTCCCATAATTTGAAATGACATCTATAAACTCACTGTCCTTACCTGCTGTTTGCTCAGGTCCCGTAAAATTCTGCTTTTCCTCATATTGAATGGCTCCAAGCTGCTGTAATTTGAAAGCTTCATTCCATTTTTATTTTTTTATGATCTCCATTATTACTGTACCACCTAAGGCTTTGGTGCCTCTGCACCGAGCTCTAAAGTCAAGGTCTGAAGGTTTTTCTGACAGTTGTGGGCTTTTGTCTCTGACGGATAGGTTTTGCAGCATCTTGCACTTTAAGGTTCTTGGCCAAGTTCTGGATGTTGGTTTTGATTAAAAAAAAAAAAAAAAAGACCACTGGACCAATGACCTATTGTTGAAACTAATCTCAGTGGGTTATGAAGTAATATAGTATCATTCTGCCTGGCAGAGGCTTCCTGGGGGGCGAGAAGCCTCTGGCTCTTCCAGTTCCTGTGCTGATTTTTCAAGGGTGACTATTTTATGTGGCTAACTCAGCCTGCCCTGGGGGTGGGGCTGGCACAGCTTGTGGTGCTGGCGATTGAACCAAGGTCCCTGCGCGTGCCGAAGCAGGCACTTGAGACCTCTGAGTGATCTCACTAGCTCCGAGGGTGACTTTTCCTATTTCCCTGAAATTAGGGGAAGTTTTAAAATGTCAGACTCTACTTGTATTCAAGTGTTTAGACACATTCCAAAGATAAATTTTAAAAGATTTTAGGTAGTTGAGAGTTTATTAATGAGTGTGGATGCATACCAGCTTTGTTCTCATGAGTGACTGAAAATTGGCTGTGATTTTCTTTAACTCAAGGAGGCATAAGCAATGCTTTTTGGCTAGGTGCACTGTTAGAGTGAAGAAACATTTTTATTGAAAACCACAGAAAGTGTCTATCTGGGCAGCCCTTGGTTCATTTTTAAGAGATGTAAGTTTCAAATGTTCTTTGGTTAAATATTAGAATTGAATTAATGGCAATAAATAGTGTTTCACAGGTTAGGGGTGTAGGACATGTTGGATAAGTGTGTTCTTGTTTCTGAAATTCTAGGATGTGGTCGCTATTGAATCCGAAGTAAAATTAATGGAGAAAAAAGTTTCAAAAATCAAAACTATCCTGTTATCCAAAGAACTATTTGACTTTTCACCTGAAGAACATCTTAAGCATGGGGAGGTAAGCATGGGTTTTTTCATAGTACGTCTATGTCTTTTGAAAAATACGGAGTACTAGCATGTGGTACAAACCCAGGGCTCTCACATACCAGGAGAGTGCTGCACCTCCAGATCCCAAAATATTAGTCTACTAGAATAAAGGCAAGGGCTAGGGATATAGCTCAGTGGTAGAGTGCTTGCCTAGCATGCACAGGGCCCTGAGTTCAATCCTTAATACTAACAAAAACAAAATACCTAGAATAAAGGGAAAATAGATGTGAATGAGGCCAGGTGTGGTGGTGCATGCCTATAATCCCAGCACCTGAGAGGCTGACACAGGAAGATTGCTACGAGTTTGAGGCCAGCCTGGGTTACATGGTGAGCTCAAGGCCAGTCTGAACTACATAGCGAGAGCCTGTCTCAAAAAAAAAAAAAAAAAAAGAATAAATAATAATATTGATAGTACTATTATGTAAAGATAATTTTCATATAGGTTTACTTTTTGATTTAAGTTTTTCCCTTAAACCCGAGAGGTTGAGCACCTGCGTTATCCTGCAGTAAGTTTTGGCCCCAGTGACGCTACTCTTGGCCGTGTGACTTTGTGTGTGTGTGTGTGTGTGTGTGTGTGTGTGTGCAGTGGATTGTTTCTGCGGTTGGTGCATTGGTGTTGTGCTGTCATACTGGTCAGTGTGTCTGGCGTATATCGATAATCGGTACACTGTCTACTGATCCCCTAGCTCAGGAGCTGAGACATAGTAAACCGCAAGCTAGTGTCAAGTCTCCTCTTAGCTGAGGTGTGTGCTTTAGGCCCAGGTTAGCCTGGGTTTGCATCCCTCCCTGCCTCCCCCAGTCTGGCTTTCCTTGAGTCTTCTAACTCCTGATTTCATCACCTGTCAGTACAGGTCTGAATGCTTTCCCCTCTTAGGATGGTTGTGGGGAGTGGCTGCAGTTGTTGCACATGTGAAGTGTTGAGTGCGGTGAATCATCCCTTCTAACTTATTAGTAAATCCAGATTCTGTGACTCAGGTGTGCTTAAAGTAAAACATCATTAAGCTCCAGGGTCTCATAAAATTTTACCAGGACAGTTCAATTCAGTAAGCATATTGAGTGCCTGTTTTGTAGAAAGCCCTGTGCTAGGTGCAGTTACTTTGAAAGTAAGATGTTGTACCCAGGGACAGGTGACAGCATAGAGAGCAAAACAGCAGTGCTTCTTGGAGGAGGGAGAGAAGGAAGACAGTGTTCTCCCAGTGCAGAAGCTACTCTTGTCCGGGCATTCTTTCCTGAGCCACATGCCAGGTAGTGAACCAGTGCTCTTCGTTCAGAGGCAAAGAAATGGTTTACAAAGTGAAACTATAGACTAAATTATAGAACCTTTTGATTTTGCAGATAAGCTTGGCAGCAGCCAAAAAGTTTTTAAAAACTCCTAATTATGTTACCATTCTTCTTGTACGTCACTAAGGTCATACTGGAAAATCTCCGTCCCATGAAGAAGACCATCGCTGAGATCCTGTCTTACCAGGTGGAGCTGAGGCTGCCGCAGCCAGAGATGAGCCCACTGCCCGTGTTCCAGAGGACAAATCAGCTTTCACAAGACATAAAGCTCTTGGAAAATCTGACTCAAGAGCAAAATGAGTTATTAAAGGTGAGCAGTTTGTGATGACAGCCAGCTTACCGGGTGACGATGTTCAGAACAGCTGGTTTTGTTCCAATTTTAATTGGAAGAAATTATTATCCAGGAGATGGCATTTGACACAAAAGGCTGTCATCTTGCTCACATGGGGCTAAGATTATTTCCCTCTCAGACCTTCGCCTTGCTCTGCTTAAAGACATTAAAGCATAGTTATGGTTGATTTAATTCTGTCCCACAGCCATTAAAGCACTACGAGGGTACAGTCCTCTGGGAAGGGATCCAAACCAGGGCAAGGCATTTGCAGTCTCAAGAGACCAGTGATCTGTAAAGTAATCATGGCATAATAGTCTCAGCCCCTTCCCATGGATGAGCTCCCAGTATCCTCCAGTGTGCGACGTGGGTAGAGTAGGAGGCTGGCTCAAGAGGGGTGAAGTGGTTAGCTGAAAGCGGCAGAATTACCTTAGGCAGAGGCTAATTCTAAGGCAAATGGAAGAGGGATTTGAATTTCTGAAGCCCTAGCTGTACTGCTCACTGATGACATCCTTCAGCCTCTCCCCAGGTACTCCCCCTCACCCCCTTAATTAAGTGTTCCGTGGTCAACGGCCACACCCGCAGAAGAGAATTGCTGGAAGGGCTGCCAGTGTCACAGACCTTCTACCCTCCGGGTAGACAGCCAGCCGGCACCCTGCCTTTGGAAACAGGAATCTGGTCTTCAGTTCCATTCACATTTCAGAGGCCACTCTGTTCTCAGGTTTGAAGAAACTACACTCCCTGGTCCAAGTCTTGACTCTTTCAGCCTCTCTGAGCTGGTCACCAATCGGCTCTGGCAAGAGAAAAAAAGAGACCTAGCACCCAACGGATGATTTTTCAATACTATGTAAAGAGAAGAGAAACAAGTCAGATACGATATATTATTTTTAATCCTTGGGTGCTCCATGGGTCTCTTGGTCGGGAAAGAAAGTAACGGCTTAACTATGCTTTAATGTAGCTTTTTTACCAGATGAAAAGGGACGACTAGAAGGCAGTTTTACCAAATTAGACACCAAAACGCTCCTAAAATTTTCCTCCTAGTATGCTGGTAAAGCCAGATGTCCCCTAATCTGTTTCAAGGCCAGTAGTAATGAAAATCACTAGAATATGGTAGAGATTACAAGTGCTGTCATTATGGGAAATAAGCCAGATTGTTTCTGTAGAGGAGTAACAGGACAGCTGGTCACTGAGGGCTGAGGAACTGGCGTGTGCAGAGAACGTAGTTACTCACTTTCAGCCCACAGCTAAAATTAAGGTTAAATATTAAAGAAAATACAAGGAAGAATTATGTGTTGGCCAAAATCTTTGTAGTTTCAAAGGCATTTTTGCTTTATTATTAAGCAAACCAAGGAAGTATCTCGATGTGCTTTCGAGCCCATTTATCTTTCATATCCTTTGATTGCATCACTCAGTCCATAAATAGATCTCTTATCATAGCTCTGCCTTCCTATCATCAGACTCCACACGTGGTCCTGGTTAGTTTTACCTCATTCTGCAGACTCAGCCTGCTCTGGAACCTTGTTTACCGATGGAATGCACATCACAGTCTAGAGGGTGCTAGGTGAGAATGTGGATGTATTGGAGAAATTAATCACTGCTCAGATCACCGGCCCCCTGAGTTCTAAATCCGCCACGCCACCTTTCTCTGTGAAAAATCCCATGTGGATTATGTTTCAAATGGTATGTGCAGTGTGTCCCAGTAACTTCTTAAGACTAGAAACCGGGGCTGGAGAGATGGCTCAGTGGTCTAAAGCACCTACTTGAAACAAGGTTGGCTAAAGCACAGGGACCGCGGTTCGATCCCCAGCACCACATGCTAGCCAGACCCGCCCCCTGGTGGGCTGAGCTGGCCACACACACACACACAATAAAGAAGGGTAATAAATAAAAATAAATAAATATTTAAAAAAAAAAAAAAGACTAGAAACCTTATGTCATTGTGCCACAGAACACCGTCAGAAGACGCCCTCTAGGCTGGGCACACTAGAGTCAAGGGGTATCTTAATGGGCTTGCACCCCAAGCACTGCCCAGGGTGCCCTGGTCTGCAGAAAAGCAGGGAGGTTGGATGCCAGCCCTGCAGAGCTTGAGCTCTGTGCTTAGAGCTGAAATATAGGTAATATTTAGAATGTAACTAAATACATTTAGAATCGAAGGCTGAATGCATCATGTTTTCCTCATTTGACTGGAACCTATAGTGAAATTGATAGTTAATCTAATTCCTGAATCCTGACAACTGTTCTTCTGGGGGGGCGGGGGTTGTTTTATATAGATGGTCATAAAACAGACTAGCGAATGTGATGAGGAAATAGAAAATTTGAAGCAGACCTTAAGTGACTGTTCAGCCGAGTTCTCCCTTGAGCACGTGTCACCAGCCCAGGCCACCGACCTGCCAGCAGTCCAGGTATGACTCCTCTGTGTACCAGTTCATTTCATGATGACTTGTGAAGCCCTTGGTGTCTAGGAGCCCAGGCCGGGCTGCAGGCTTCATCCAGCTTCTCATTTGGGTTGATCCTATTCACTGTATATTTACTGTCCATTCCTGTTCACGAACTTGGTGTCATTACTCAAACTTGGTAAAGTGGGGACTGTCACTGCTTTCTTGGAACCTGTGCTGGGGCTGCTGCAGTTTCAGCCTGGTGCGTTTGACTTGCACTCACTTTTGTGCCGCAGAGGCTGATGTAACATGGGATATTTGAGCAGCCTGACTGTCCCACTGGTTGTTCTGGGATGGGAATTGGGCGGTGAGGGCAGGTTGGGCTTTCAGAAGTAATACAGCTCTGACAGCTTTGTGATGGAGGGCTTTGTATTCCATGATGTATTTCCATTTGCCACAATGACCAGCGTTCAGGGTACCTAATTACAGTGGTTTGCCTATTAATACTCTCATTAGGGTTTTTGTTGTTGTTTTTTTTTTTTTTAGTTTGTACCAAGGATTATAGAAAGTTGAGATTTTTCTTGTCATGTGATTGATGCAGGCAGATAGTTGATATGGTTCTCAGCCACTTGCTGTGACACCAAGACAAGTGTCATAGGGTGAAGGAAAGAGAGGTTCAAGGTCACACAGCTGCCAGGTGGGGGTTCCCTCACGCAGACCAAGGGGTAAAGACTCCATGTCGTGGAAATGTTATGTGTCTGTGTACGCTAAAAAGTGCAGACTGCTGAGCACTTGTATCTACAGACATTAGGGATTACAGTGCAGAAATGTTAGAAGATTTATTTCAAACTAGCAATCTTAGACATGTTACATATTAATAGAAATATTTTTATTAAAGTAATTCTATATCTCAAAAAATGTGCAAAGAATGACACTTTCACATTGTTGCACATCCTTTTAATGTCTGGCTTAACAGAAGACAGATTTTTATCTACTTCTGTATTCTGTCTGTTGTATAAGTTTTGTTCAAAGTTTCTTAAAAATCCAAAGACATATAGTAGAAACAGAGGGAATACTTTAACAGCCCCTTTGAATAATTGTGGGCATTCTTTCAAACTACAGTGATACCCAGCAAATGAAAGTTACTCAGAGATAGTTGTAAATGCATCTAAAGCCATGTGAATGAATTTGTTACATACTCACATTAAAATCTTTTAAGTAGGGGCCAGGGAGATAGCCCAGTAGAAGGGTCCTGAGTTCAATCCCTGGTACCATGAAAAATAAATGAATAAATATAAAATCTATAAGTGAGTCTTGCAGTTTGAATGGAAAAGATAATCATGCATAACTTACAACACCAACCGTGATCACTTGGAAAATACAGTTTCACGGAATTATGCAGATCATCCAGATGTTGCTGTGTTTCAGTAGTCAGTGTGAAGCAGCTGTCTCTTTTTAAAAAGTATAACACTTAAGTGTATAAGTATAATTTACCAACTATTTTGTTTCGTGTGAAAATAGTAGGGGAGGGGCTGGTGAGATGGCTCAGTGGTCTAAAGCACCTACTTAGAACAAGCTTAGCAAAGCACAGGGACCGCGGTTCAATCCCCCAGCACCACATGCCAGCCAGCCCCGCCCCCTGGTGGGCTGAGCTGGCCACAGACACAAATAAAAATTAATTAATTAATTAATTTAAAAAGAAAATAGTGGGGGGAAAAGAAAAGGTACTGTAGTGCAGGTGCTTTTCCTCCGCCATTGTACCTTGATGCCAAGCAGATGTGCCTTATGGAGACCTCCTGTTGTGTCACCAGAGCATTGAAGGCACATGTCTTGAACTCAAGGACATCTGTGACCCTAGAGTTGGTGCCCTGCCTTGATTCACATAAGATGCCAGTCATCTTAGCTGCTCTTGCTTCATTAGCATAAATGTTGACACAATGAAAAGTACAAGAAAGGCTTTTTATATTAACCACAGGGACCTGCTGTCGGCTGTTGGTGCCCTCAGTGTGTCTGCAGCCCGGCGGGCCACTCTGTTCCCTGGAGAGTTATTCTAATGGCTGTGATGCCGCTTCTTTTGGGGAGCCCCTGACCCCTGAGTTCAGTATTTATTGACGGTAGCACACAAAGGAGGGCAGCTGCCATTCAGTTCCGGTCGTTACGCACTCACTGCCAGCACTCACAGGAACGCGGACTTCAGACACAATAGGGACGTCGGTGTGGGCATGCTGCCGTTGTGGGGAGCTGTGAGGAGCCACCTTCTGTGCTGTCACACGATGGCGGCCGCCTTGGGAGGGTCGTCTTCTGTCCCTGGACTTCAGGACTCTCACACGGAGATAGAAATGTGTGACTTTCATGTCTGCGTGAAAACCAAAGGCTCCGCATGTCCCTGGGCGGATAAGGATGATGAGGAATGGAGGCAGTTGGCAGTGCTGGGGCCAGCCCCAGGCCTTGTGGGTGTTAGATGAGCGCTTTGCCTCTGTGCTACACTCAGCTCGGAACAGAGCGGAACGGATGCGGGTTTCTTGAAGTTCCTCCTGATCCGCACTAGCTGCAGGAGGCCTGGCAGGGGTCGAAAGATTCCTCTCCAGGGTGCCGGAGGGAAAGCTGTTAGACTGCCTGACCCCTGAGAATCTAGGATGCCACCATTCTGTAATCCTCAGGGACAGGCTGGGGCATTTATACACCAACTATGTATAAACAGGTTTATCCCCATGTAGCAGTAATACATGTTAACAGTAGCATTATGAACCTTGGCCTCAGCTGTCCTGCATGCCATCCATAGTAAGTGACCCTGCAGGATACCTTTGTTCATGTATGTATTTCAATCTAGTAGATTGTCTGGACCGTAGAAGGAATAAGTAAACTTAGCAATCCTAAAGAAGCCTTCCAGGGCACTAATGAGAGAATGAGACTTCTGTTTTTTTCTCTCGGCGGCTCCCAAATGTCAGTCTGCTGAAGAGTCTCCTGGAGAGAAGGAAAGTGTGTCAAGCTCCGTGCTATGCTGCTAGCGTGCAGATTTCCGGGCCTGACCCTGTGGGTTCCAGTTCCTTCAGCCCTGAGGCTGCCGCAGGGCAGTGGCGCCCACCTGGGTACACGCCTTTGTCACCTGGGGAATTGGTTGTTACATTTACCCCACTTTGGCTCAGCCCCCAGAAATTCTGAGCCACAAGGCCTGCCAGGGGCTAAGGCACCCCGCAGCTTACGGGCTCTCTGCATCTCCTTTGGAAGTGTGGCCAGGACAGAGAGGGAGGAGGAGCTCTTCTGTACTAGAGCCTGGCTCTTGGTTTGGCAAACCCAACAGCCCAGACCAGTGGTGGTGAACTATGTAGAGCTTTCGATGATGTAAACAGCCCGTTGCAGCACGTGTGTGATTAAGTTCGCCACCACAGGCCTAGGACAACCCTTGTACCTTGTGCCTCCTGACCCATACCTGTGGGTATTCGCAGGCCTCAGATTTCGCAAAACTGTGAATGCTTTCTGTGCAGGAGGAAGTCAAAGATTCAGAAAAGCAGATTCTGAGTTTAAGCCAGAAAAAGGAAGACCTATTAGTGGGTTTGAAGGCAGCCATCTTAACCCTCCACCAGCATTTGAAGCAAGAACAGCAGGACACTGAAGGAGCCGGCCTGTCCCCTGTCGCCTCAGAATGTAGAGCGGCTGAGAGAGATGCTCTGGAGTGGAAGGTAGGGGTGCACTGAGGCGGTGCTGGCCCTGCATTCCAGGGCTCCTTAGAGGATCCTGCACTTCACCTGAGTGACCCGTGCCATCTGGGTCTATGGCTCATAGCAAAAAATTCTTTCTCTCTCACTGGTGTTACAGATTGAGCCCAGGGCCCTTTCACTGAGCTACATCCCCAGGCCTTTATCATTTTGAGACAAGGTCTTGCTAAATGTCCCAGGCTGGTCTCAAACTCTCAGTCCTGCCTCAGCCTCCCAGAGGGAGTGCTGGCATTGCGGGTGGGAAGTTACTAGCGCCACGCTGATCAGCTGGTGTGGGAGTGTTTGAATGTGGGAAACATTCTGCTTGAGGTTGTTTACTGGTGAACATAAAAATCTCGAGGGTGTGTCTGCTCTGGAGCACACCCAGAATTCTTATGGCTGAGTGACTTAAGGACTTGCTTGTGAAATTCCATGGGCTGGTGGGTGGGGTTGCCCTTTGAAGTATTTTTCTATGGACTACCCAGCTGGACTCCCCACTTTGCACTGTGTTTAGTGGAGGGCAGAGGATGTGATAAACAAGATCTAGGACTTTGCAGTGAGGGTATTTGGCTGGGTGAGCTGAGAGGCACCGGCCGAGACTACCTGTGTGGGCAGGCATCTTGGATAAAGTGAGTAAAAAATTAGCCACATAAAAATGCATCAAGGCCGGGATGCTGGTGAGATTGGTGCCTGGACTGACTGCAACTGCCCTGCTGTTCTTTTCAGCGGGACAGAAGGGGCTCCATGTCCTTCCTGCCAGCGGTCGAGGAGGAGGCCGAGGAAAGCTCCATGCACAGTGAAGTAAGAAAAACGATTTTCTTTCTCCTTTAAGTCTATGAGAACCCAGTCTTTAAAAGTAAGCCAGAGAACAGATCATGAACAGATATCTAAGAATTTGTAAGTTAATGTTGATTTTTACAAATATTATTATTTTTAAAAATCTATTTATTTATTTATTTTTGCAGAACTGGGGATTGAACTCAGACCCTTGTGCTTGCCAGGCAAGCACTTATTCTACTGAGCCATCTCCCCTGCCCCTTTTTTATTTTTTTTACAAATATTATTTTAAGAGTATGATTGAAGGTAGTTCTTTTGTGTTAACTAATGTTAAGTGTGTCTAGCCCTTCTTCGCCGTGCAAGAGAAGAATAAATGTAATTCACACACACTTGTTGACATACGGGAGAAGGTGAAGCTATCCCCTCTCGTATTCTGATTTCTGAATATTTTTTCACAAGCTTTGAGAGTATGCTGCTTGGCTGGCGCTCCTGCTGCAATTCTCAGGATTTCCTTTTTCCACGTGTGAACTTGTTCTTTGTTCTGAAACAGTGGTTGGGGACGTGAGTTGTGTCCGCAGCTGAGACAGCCAGGTCTTGCTGCTGCTTTATATTGACCCAATGAGACACTCCCGGCTGACCTTCCTGATCCCAGCTGCCACTTCACATTCTAGAAACTAACCTGCTAATGTGCTTTATGCCGAAAGCAAGCAAACTACAGCAGCTTATCTTGGCATGACTCACGATAATCGGTGTTCATGCTCGTGCTGTGGAGTGACAGCTCACTGTCACGGCTCCTGTGCTGCCGCGTGTCCCTGGGGCTGGGTAAGACAAGTGGTGGGATAAGGGGTCCAGCGGGTTCTCAGGCCAGGCCACAACTTCATGACCTGGCTGTGCCCCTCCACGGTAGCAAGGATTAAGAAAACAGGAGTAGCCGGAGCCATGGAAGTTTATGACATACGTTTGCTTCTGAACTGATAGGTGTATGGAATTTATCTTTGACAATAACAAAAAAAAAAAAAATCCAAAGCCATATGTAGTAAGTGCTTTTTTAATTGACAGGCTATATATATATATGGTAAACAGGCTAATTAATAGGTATTTCCTCTCGCTTACTGTGTTTCCATGCTGAGGACCAAGCCTGGCACCTCACATTTGCTGGCAAGTGCTGTAGGGCTGAGCTAAATCCCCAACCCCGTAGTAACCTTTTCTGGGGCATGAGGACAGTGGACTTCCATCTACCCTCTAAGCAGTTGCCACGTACACAGCGTAGTGTCACCAGCTGCGGCTGCCACAACATGCAGCGCCTCGGTCACACGTACTCCTGAGCCTGAGCCTGAGCCTGAGCCTGAGCCTGAGATGTCGAAGCCTTTGGCTGCTAACCCCAGGTCTTCCCCGCCCCGACACAGCGCCTGCTAACCAGGGTTCTGCTCTGTGTTTCTCCAAGTTCAGGATTTCCCAGTCCACATGGAAGCAAGATCAGACGGTGTTCGTCTCTCTGTGCCCACTTGCTTTGTTTCACTTGCTCTGATGTCCTCCTGGCCATGTGCCCTGTCACAGATGACAAGGTGTCCTTTTTCTTTTTCTTTTTTTTTTTTTTTCTTTTTTATTGGTACTAGGAATTGAACTCAGAACCTTGGGCTTGCCAGGCAGGCACTGTGCCACTGAGCTATATCCCCGCCCCAAGGTGTCCTTTTTAATCACCGAAGAGTAATCCATTCTGTGTATGAACCACATTTTATTTGTTCATTAGTGGACAGGAGTTGATTCTGTACCTTGGCTGAGCAGCCTTCACACTCCTTTCCGTTTGGCAACTAATCTGCAATTCCGCAACAGTATCCAGGGTCACTTTTGTCTCACCAATACTTGCTTTTTAAAAAAAAAATCATTCATTCATTCATTTATTTGGTACAGGGTCCCACTATGCAGGTTGGACCCATAATGATCCTCCTGTCTCAGACTCTCCAGCACTGGGATTATAGGCATATGCTACCATGTATGGCATGCCTGGGGTTCCGGGGTCGGCACAGCATGTGTGGTGCTGGGGCCCAAACCCAGGTCTTTGTGCTTGCCAAGCAGGCGCTTAGACTGCTGAGCTATCTCCCCAGCCACTCACCAATACTTGTTTTTCATCTTTTGATAAAAGCATCCTTACAGGTATCAGGTACTATCTCATTGTGGCTTTATTCATTTGTTTACTTGGCAATGCTCAGGACAGAACCCCTTGCCTGTGCTAGGTGAGCCCAGTACCACTGAGCTACCTCCGCAACTCTCATTGTCTTCCTTGTATTTATTGCATTTTCTCTGATTTCGTTAGCAAAGGAAATGGGTGGGATATAGGGCAGCGGGGGCCTAAGGCCTGTGGTCAGATAGCCTGATGCCTGTATCTGCTGGGGACTCCCTGCTCTCCGCTGACCGGTGTCCTTTCCTAGGATGGACACGAGGAAACCAGGCTGTCTTCAGAGTCCCGGGCTGTACTCTGGGAGCAGGACAAGGACCTGGAGGAAGAGGAGGCGGCCTCATCCTCTGACACTGTCATCCAGGTAACTGAGCCCGAGGGGCGCAGCGGGGGTACCTGGTTGCCTGGACTTGCTGAGCCTTTTTCCTCTTGGGGGGCGTCTTTTGTTCAGCACCTTAAATTACTAGTCTGTGTCTCAACAGGGAGGGATATAAGTGAAAGAGAAGTTTGACAGAATGCTTAGGGCAGGAAATGGCTCCGGTTGAATTTTATTTGCTGTAAGCAAATACAGACTATGCTGGTGTGGTTTCTACCATGATGCCTTGAGATACACACTCGCTGTGGGATGGGTAATGAGGCTAAGGAGCATGCGGGTTACGGTATGCATAGTGAAGTCTACGTGCTCAGTAGCTTTTAAACACATTGTTAGGAATTACGGTCGTCTAGTTGTACAGTAGCTATCAGCTTACTCTTCCTGTCAGTCTGGAGTCCTCCTCTCACAGTGCCTGGTAACCATGATTCCACCTCCTACTTCACATTGCTTAATTCACACGTGAATGACATGGTGTGGGAACTGTCTTTGTCTTTCTGTGCCCAGTGTGTTTTACTTCACTTCCTTCAGATTTATCCATGTTGTTGCAAATGGCAGGACTTAATTCTTGTTCAAGGCTGAATAACAGTCCATGTGCACACTTACATTTTCTTCATCAGCAGACAAGGAAGTTGGTTCCATGTCTTGGATATTACAAATGTTTGATGCATCTCACCGTTGTGCCTGCACAGGTACAAAGCAGCTTTTAGTAGGCTCTGCTCATTATTTTTCTCTTATGTACCCAATTCTAAGTAGGTAACTCAAAGTGTCACTTAAAGGCTTTGCCACACTATTTCACCAAAGCATTTAACATGGGTAAGGTTGGGGTGACCTGAGGATCAAACCCAGAGACGCTCCACCGAGCTACTTCCTCACCCATTTAAATTTTGAAATGGGGTCTTGCTAAGATCAAACACCTAGGCTCAAGCTGTCATCCTGCCTCAGCCTCCCGAGTATTTGGGATTACAGGCATGTGCTACCATGGCTGACCATAATAATTTCTTTTTGTTTTATTTCATTTTCGTCAACTAAAACACAGTAATGTATAAGAGAAATTAGTGGACTGTCTTGTTGCTCCTTACACCATTCTAAGTCACCAGTTCTCTGGAATGGCAGGCAGATGCCTCACTTTAGAAAGCCTTCCTGTGCCCCTGAGCAATGTCCCAGGTGCCCTTGTCATCCCGGCCCACACATCTGCATCTCCACCTCCTGCCCCCTCAGCCCACTCTTAGGCCACCCCTTCATTAATTGTTGCCACCATGCTCTGCCTGTACCTGCAGCTCCAGTCTCTGCCGCTCCAAGGAGTCCCTCCCTCTGCCCAAAGTATTTAGGTTTCCCCTCCCACAAGTTACCTCCCTGCTCCCCTCCTCCATCTGAATAAACCTATCCTTTGGGAACCTAGCCCGCCTCCTGAGTGACTCTTAGAAAATGCGGGGCATCCATGGAAGCCCCTCCTCCACTCTCCTTGTAGACTTCCCACCTGTCTGGAAAGACCTCCACGTCCACCTTCTCTCAAACCCCTGAGCTCCGACAAGGAAAATTGCTCTCTTTTTGTTTTCTGTGGACCTCGGTCATGGCTCACCACAGTTTGATGCATACACTTGACACAGTTCCACAGAGGCCAGATCCTGACCTCCTCTGTGTGTTTATCACCTGCACTGGGCCTGTGTGGCACTTAAATAAGTTGACTTACTTTTTTTTTTTTAATTGACTTTCGTAATCCTGTTTTCCCTCTCAGTCGCTGTACTTCCTCTTTCATTTGCCACTGAACACTGCTGCTTGGTGCTCTCTAGGCCCCTTTTGTTGCCTTGTTTCTGCCTCCAGCTAACCTGCCTTCGACTTCCGGACATCCTTGCGCCCTCCCGTTGCCTCTGATGCCCCTGCGGCGTGAGGCACTGTTGCCCATCTCTCTGCTCCTGACATGCAGCTCGCCTTTGCTTCTTGGATTTTGCTGCCGCGCCTCCCTGCCGCTCCTGCCCTGCCCCGGGTCTGCCTCCCCTCCTCCTCTGAAGGCAGGCAGTTCCCAGCTGTTCTCTCCCTTTGGCTTCCCTCTCCTGCCGTGGCCCGCATGGTCACCTGGTGCCCGTGAATCCGCTCTCGTCTTGCCTTTTCTCGGAAATCCGCTTCCCACTTCTACCCTCCCCCACATACGTCTCTTCTTAGATGAACTGTTTTTACCTCCAACTCATTTACTTCCCTTCCTTTCAAGCCTGTTCTTCCTCGGCTTTCTCAGTGCCTGCCCAGAGTCTCAGCGCGTGAGCGTCCGAGTCACCTCAGGTGATCTCCTTTCTTACCTTCCGTGTGGAATCCGAGGTCAGGTGTACCTATTTCATCTTGACCCCCTCCCGTTATATCTGTCATCCTCTGAGGTGAGCGATGGTATTCCCCCCTGAGCTTTTGGAGTAGCTTCTCATTGGTTATATAACCTCTGGCTATTTTTCCTAACATACAAAATTCTGATGGCTTTTCCTAAAACATATGTTAGGCCCCAGCTTAAAATCCTGCCTGGATTCTTGTTAGCTGCTAAATAAGACGCAGGCTTCTTGCTGTTCAAGATTTTTCATGATCCCTTTCCATTGTTCTACTTTTCTTTTTGTACCAGGAATCAAACTTGGGACCTTACATCTGCCAGGGAGGCACTGTACTGCTGAACCACCTCCCTGGCTGCCTTTCCAATTGCATCTCATTGTGTCTTTAGTTCTTGGTTCAGTTCTTGGTTTCTGAAAGCAGTTGCATTAGTCAGATTTCTCACCTTTGAGACATAATACTTGAAGCCCATAATTTTACAAGTAGCTTATTGGGCTTAGGATATAGCTGAATGGCACAGCGCCTGCCTGGCAAGCACAAGTTCAACCTCTGGTACCAAAAAAAAAAGTTTATTTTGGCTCCCAGTTCAAGGGGATTCAGTCCACGCCAGAGCAGAAGAACGTGGTGGGAAGGCACGGATAGAACACAGATGCCCACGCCAGTTGAGCTTAGCTGTCACAACTGTTCCCAGCAGAAAGAGGCAAAGAGGAACTAACATTTTGTTCTTAGATCTCTGATTCCTTTTTTTTTCCTTTTGGTGGGATGCGGTACAGGACTCGAACTCAGGACCTTGCGCTTGCCAGGCAAGTGCTATGCCACTGAGCTACATATGTCCCCAGCCCTGATTCCTTTCTTTACAGGAGGCAAGGATGAAAATCAGCACATGTGACAGTTCCATGACACAGACTCATGTGCCAGACTCACCAGACACCAAGCAAGGCCCAGAATTCTCCCCGGGGCTCAGCCAGACAGAAAAGGTAGGTCCTGCCTGTCACGAGGTGACTGCTCCCTGTGAGCTTCGCAGTATGTGCTGTTCAGCTGCAGAGCTGGAGGATTTGCTGTCAGTTACTTGTGTAAGAAACAGGCATGGCGTGGAACAGTGTGCTGCCATCTGCTTGTCCAGCCCGTGTTAGCACTAAGTACTCCTTCCCTGTCTACCGCAGTCTTATGTATAGCGTCTCATGACGGTGAAAGTGGAGATAAGCTAATACTGGTCCATGGCCTATTCTAAAAGGCAGTTTTATTTGCTTTCTGTTTAATCATGTGGTCTCTTAGTGCCTAGCAAGCATTTACAAAAGAGCAAACCTGAGCCCAGAGAAGATACTCCAGATAACGAAAGGGAGAGTAAGGAATCAATCCCGGAACGCCCCTGCACCTTCCATACCTGAGAGCTGCCCCGTGGTTCCCAGAAGGGCCTTCAGAGGGCGCTGTTTCCCAAGCTGGCTTTGGTGTTCAACTGACCATAAAGTGCCATAGTTGTAGCTCCAAAAAACACATCGGCATGATTTTTACTGCTTTAAAAAATAATTTTTTAAGGAGTTTTATGTCTTCTCCCAGACTTATGTAGGTGGTTTTTCCGCCAATCTTTTGTCTGTTCTTAGAGCAGAAGACTAGTTGTCAAATTGTTATTCTTCTCTTTACTGCCCTCCTTTTCATCTCTAACAATAGATGCCCAGCGAGGTAGACAGAAGTCGGAGATCGACTCTAACTGGCTGCACAGGGATCTAAGAAAGTTGCTGACCTGCTCAGTGGGTTATTTTTGCTTCCCAGAATTAATATGTTATTTTTGACATCTGCAGTGGTGCTGTGGCTATGGTAGGCATTCTGCTTAGTGTGTGGCAGTCTTAGGGTGGGTGATATGCAGTTGGGGTCAGTGTCCTGCCCATGTTGGCAGCAGATGATGGGAGTGAAGAATAGAAGACACATTTGCTGCCCACTTACAATGGGCTGGGCATAGGATTGTGCAGCTATTGCCTCTCACCGAGCCTCTCACAGCCCTGTGTATGGTCGTTCCTGCTGCTTCCCCTCCACAGATGGGGCGTTGGAGCTCTGAGCTTTTTTTTTTTTTTTTTTTTTTTTTTTTAATGTATTTGGTACAGTCCCACTACACAGCTCAGACTCATAGTGATCCTCCTGTTTTTAGCCTCCCCGGTGCTGGGATTATAGGCTTGCACCACCATGTCCAGACTCAGTGGCCTGCCCAGTGGGGCTGGTGCAGCATATGGTGCCGGGGATAGAACCCTGGTCCCTGCACTTGCCTTATAAGTAGGTGCCTAGTCCACCGCACTATGCCAGTCTACTCTGAGCATTTATATAAGCTGCCCAAGGCCACGTAGCCACTGAGCAGCGAAGTTAAGTTTGAAGGCCAGATCTTTCTGCCTCTGAATTTAGAACCTAAGGTCTTGATATGTCACTTAAGTTGCCAAGCCTGGGCTTAGATTGAGATCCTTCTCCCTCAGCTTCCCAGAGTGCTAGGGTTTCAGGCATGTGCCATCGTGCTTGTCAGGGTGATTCTTAAAACACATCATGAAGTCAGGGGAAATGAGCATTTTTGTGGAAAAGAACACACAGATGTGAGTAAATAGATGGCCAGGTGGAAAAAAAAAAATATCTCAGGGACACTTTGGCCGAACAAGCTTCCAAAATGCTCAGTCAGTGTGTGTGAGAAGGAAGGGCATTCCAAGTCCCGCGGGGCTTGTTCCCACCTCCCCGTCTTGTTTATTCTGTTGCTTTGTGCATCCGTCCTACGTAGGAGAACCGCAAATGCAGGAAGTGTGCACTTCTGAGCCGCCCATTAGGAGCTCTTCATCTGGCCCAAATTGCGCCTTGTTAGGTCCTAGCAAGTTGTTGATAAAGCCTTTTATAGAAAACATTATAATTTACCATAATCATAATGAAGTATTGGAACCAATGCTTTTGTAGAGTACAGCATAAATCTTTATCCCACTAAAAGGGTCAGTATACTCTTTTCTTATTCCAGATAAGGTTAAGTGATATAGTATGAGGCAAAGATATTCTAGTATTAAATCATCTAAAAACTTTGAATTGAAAATACCTAATATGTAATTACTAGAATATTTTCTTTTGGTGTCCAGTGAGATTTTGCTAAGCAAAATTATACTGATAAGCAACCCAGTTATCTCAATGTAGAAAGAATTCCTCATACTTTCTTCCAGTTGTACCTGACATACTTACTCCTTAGCTCAGTATTATTTAAATATCTAGAAGGTGAAAATCATTTTAGGATTTTCTCTGAGGAATAGAAAAAAAAAAATGTTTCCAGGTTACTTACACAGAAGTTTATCACTTGACTCAAACTATTTTTAGTAGAAGTGTAGAGGAAGAATTGTATGTGTAAAGAAAAGTCAGAAAATTTTATCACCTAGCCACTTGACAGAAGGTGTTAGGGTAAAAATGCAGGGCATGTTTGGCTGTCCCCTCCAGTACGTAAAGATCTTTCTCTTTTTATTGTTTTGGACTTTTCTGTTTGAATAGAGCTTACAGCAAGGTATGCTTTGCTTAATCATGTGTCATACAACTTTAAGTGCCAGCTGGCTGGTCCCCTGCAGTGTTTAGCGCTCTCTCTCTCTCTCTCTCTCTCTCTCTCTCTCTCTCTCTCTCTCTCACCTCCCTCTGGGGCCTTCAGTATATTGAACTGTGAGCCTGTTGGCTCTGCGGTGCCTGGGAATACTGTACCTGTGTACGCTCCGATCAGCTGCTTGGAAACCAGTGCCACCTGATCACGTGACTGTGGCTATGCGTGTGGAGGTGAATTTTGCCTTTCTTCTTCCTTCTTCTGCCCTGGTTCTGTCCCTTCTACCTGGGGGAAACGTTACAGCTCCTCAGGTCTTTGCAGGCCTCAGCGTGAAGCCTTTGAACGGCTGGCTTTTCACCGGTGGCTTACCTGTGGCTTTATTGTAGGGTGCCACACCTCCAGCCGAGCCTGCAGCTCTGGCCTTTGCTGACGAGCAGAGACCTTTGGGACCCACGGTGGAACAAGCCGAGCTGCGGCCTGGAGACGTCCTCCATGTCTGCCAGACCCAGGTGGCCAAGCTGGAGCTATGGCTGCGGCAAGCCAGCGTGGCATTTGAGCCGGAAACGTTAAACGCAGACATGCAGCAGGTGGTGGAGCAGGAGCTGGTCGGGTGCCAGGTAAGGCCAGGCCAGGGTTCATGCCCGGCCTCCTCTCCAGTCCCCTGCTGGGGCAAGGCAACTTTTTCTTAAAGCAACAAGGTGTCTTTCTAGTGCTCCCAGGCTGATGCTTCTCTTGGCCTCCACTCGCAGCCCCCAGGGCAGTTCTCTGAGCTGCTTTAGGTGAGGCACGCTCGGGAGAACAGTGGCAGAGAAGGTCTCTAGATCTGGAGTCCAACCCAGATCCGGTTCTGCCGCATTAGCTGTGAGGCTGAAGAAGCTAACTTCTTGCTTTATTTTCCTTGCATGGTGTAGTAAGTCAGCTCATAGTTGGAAGGATTAAATGAGACAAAGTATAAAGCAGTTTCTGATATGGAAAGCATCTAAAAGCAGCTCCGTGAATGCTGTTATCTTTAGCAGTAGTTGTGAGTGCTGTGAAGATTCATTCATCAGAACTGAAACCGGGTGTCCTGGTTCATCAGAGTGCACATGACACTCTTGAGTCCACGTTTTACCCAGCGCTCTCCTAATCTTGCTTGGGAGGAGCAAGGACACCACTTCTTTGGCTTTAGATGCTGGGTAAAGCGCCCGGGTTTGGCCTGAAAGTTGGGATCTCGGGTTCCCCCGGGAGAGGCTGGAATGACAACACTGTTACAGCATAATTGAGAGTCCCAGTCGCAAGGCCTGTCCCCCAGCTGTTGCCAGAGCTGACACCGCTGCTTTCCTGACTTGTTTCTTCTGTGCCACTGGTGCAGCTGTCCTCTGGTCTCAGGGTGCTACAGCCTGCCCCAGCCTTGGGGAGCTCTTCCTGCAGTTCTAGCCGTCCTGTGCTCGGGTAGCTGTCCTCACTGGGGGGCTATGCCTCCTCTCCTCCCCTGGGCTCGGACTGGCTTACGACTTCCAGAGCTGCCATGGGGGCTGGAGGAGAGGCGGCTGGGCCCACTTCCTCCCCAGGCAGTGCATCGTGTCTGTCCCCGTCGTCACTCTAGACGATCAGTTTGCTAAGATCCTACCACCGCCCTTTGGCCTGGCTGATAAGGCCAGGGAGGGCTTTCGAAAAAGATGAGCGCAGCGCAACACAGATAGGGCTGAAGCTGATGCGTTCCAGGCCTTGAGTCCAAGTACTTACAGTGTTGAGGGTACACCTGCCAACCCTGCTGTCTGCTGACGTGCAGGCCCCATGCTGGGCCACAGGCACCCCTGGAGACCACGTCATCGCCACTTCTACCTTTCCAGTGTCGGGATTCCAGAGTTGCGCAAAGGCAGGGGAGCCCAGTGGACTGCATGGGCAGCACTTTGCCAGGGTCACAACGAGGAGGGAAAGGATCCCTCTGAGCAGGAGGCCTTCGCCGAGCATGGGTGTCAGGCAGGAGTGAGCTGTGGCCCAGAGGGGAGGAGGAGAAGGAACTGAGGTGTCTGGTGATGTCCCTGCCCGATGGAGAGCCCCTGGTCTGTGAGCTCCCCAGGCAGCAGACTGGGCTCTGTTTAGAACTGGGGTTTGTCTTACTCCTGGCTGGCAGATGTCAGCGTGGATTTGAGGTCCATACAAAGCAGGCTTGAAAGTACACTTATTCGGGCTACATTAAAGCCCCAAAATACAATTAAAAATTTGAGTTTACCAGGTGTGATGGTGCACGTCTGTAATCCCAGCGTCGGGGAGGCTGAGACAAGAGGATCACTATGAGTCCAAGCTGCGTAATGAGACCCTGTACCAAATACATAAATAAATTTTTAAAAATTTAAATTTGAATTTAGTGGCAGCAGAACTGATGGTTCTGCCCTGCTAGGAAGAATCAGCATAGCAGCCAACACGTAAGGGCTATCCCCGGTCACTCAGTGACAGTGTGACAGAGTTTCATGTTGAAATACATGAGAAGCCTGCAAGTGGTCAGTAAAGGCTGTTCTTGAAAAATGGCCAATGGATAGAGCAAAACAGATGAGTAAAAATTAGATTTGGTAATTTAATAGTTGGTAAGAAATATTTAGCCTTGATTATTAAAAACGTGAGGTAAAACAGCTAACCCCTTATTGCAATATTATATTAGCAAAAACTGTATCACTGTGACAAAATCTAGAAAAATGTGTCCACCAAAGTCTAGTAATTCTGTCTAGTTGGCTTAGTGTCTAGAAAGATCAGTTGTCAGCATATAAAATGTCCATCATCTTTGACCCAGTTATGCTATTACCCCTCTGAAAATAATTTGAAATGAGAAAAATAATTATGGCAGCATTGGCTCCCAAACTGAAGACCTAGAAGCCGCTTACCACATTCCTGCCTGCTTGGACCACCAGTGGTACCTGCACAGCGGTCCTGTCATGGCACACACAAGGTGCCCAGTGCGACAGTGACACCTCTGTGGCCCCCTGTGAACTCATTCAAGTGGTACCAAGAGGGAAATTGCTAAATGAATCACGGGATGTCAGCCTGCTACCATTAAAATGAGAATCTTGAAGCATGGTGTGTAGACACATAAAGCAATCCAGTGTGGAAAAGTACGTATTGTTTAAAGCCAGTCTTAAATGTGTGAATGCATATTGTTAAGCTCAGAAGAATCCATAGAGGATGTAAGCAGCTTCCTTGGATGAAGAGTTAGACATTATTTGAGAATGTGTTTTAAAGGTAGATGTTTTCTTTAAGTGCTCCTCGAGGACCTGAATTTGTTTTAAGCCACACCCAGAGTGTCAGTGCCCATGATCACAGTGCTGAAATGCAAGCATTCTGCTGCTGCCAACTGTGTGCCCAGCCATTGGCACAACCCTGCGGTCTCCTGGGCCCCAGGAGAGGGCAAACTTGACCCGTGGAGGAGGGATACAGTGACCATGACTTAGCTTGAGACACACTTGAGCCAGCTGGCTTATTTTTAGACCTCTGTATAAATTGGCCACTTGTATCGGTGACTAAGTGTTTTACGTTCCAAGTTATTTCTTCTGGGGTGTTCTGATATTTAGAGGTTTACTTGGCTTGGGAAAGAAAAGAAAAAAAACAAGGAAAAGAATTTTTAAATAGCTATGTGGAATTCATTCATTCTTTCTTTCTTTCTTTCTTCTTCTTTTTTTTTTTTTTTTTTTTTTTTTTTGGTACCTACCAGGGATTGAACTCAGGACCTTGTGTTTGCCAGACAGGCACATATGCTGCTGAGCTATCTCCCGGGCCTTAGAATTCTTTCTCCCCCCCCCCCCGCCCTTTTTTTAATTCATACTGGACAAATACTCAGATAACAAGAATAGTCAACATTCTTCACTTAATCTTGTGCTTAATGCTTTTTAAGCACCTGACTATGTACATAGTTTTAACTGGTTAAATCCAGATTATGTGGGTTAAAGTTAGAATACCTGGATTTGACTCATTAACTCCTCACACTAACCAGAGGTAGGAAATTCAGTTATATCCCCATTTCACAGGCCAGCAGGTCAGGCACATAGAAAGCAAGGCGTCTGCGTGTGCTCAGGTTCTAAGTGGTGGGCATGGTCCCCAGGCTCAGATCATCCTGGGCATGTTCCTAACCACGGTGCTCTGCCGGGTGCATTCAGCAGCAGCTTTCTGAACTGATGTTTGAGTCAGTTATTTTAGATTACAGATTTTTGTTGCAGAGGTTGCATCCATGTTGAAAAGCACAGGAGTTGTGTGGGAGCTTTTGCTTGTCCAGGGTGCCTTCTGTCCCGTATTTCTGAGGCCATTAGAGAGAGTAACTCTCTCCTTCTGGGAGCATCACTTGTGCAGGAACCACGCTGGGCAGGGCGTGCCCCCCAGAGGTAGAACACATGCCCTGCACCAGCTAGAGCTCTTTAGGTTCAGTCACCAGTGCTGAATGTTGGAAAGAAATTCTTAAAGATGACCTGCCTTGGGACTGACTACACGCCGTTGTTTCCTAGGCCATGCTGACAGAGATCGAGCACAAGGTTGCCTCGCTGTTAGAGACTTGCAAAGAGCAGGGCCTGGGAGATGGTGGCGCAACCCAGCACGAAGCTGAAGTTCTTTCTCTGAAACTCAAAACTGTGAAGTGCAACTTGGAAAAAGTCCAGATGATGCTTCAGGAGAAGTACAGCGAGGACCAGGTGAACTACGGCCACAAGTAGCCCCACGTACGGCGTGCTCCAGCCAGCCAGAAGAGAGCCTGGGAGGGCGGGCGAGCCAGCTACGGGGAGCTGTGCCGAGGGCGGTGGCAAGTCCTCACGCTCGCTGTCAGGGTGGGGCCCGCTGGCTGTGCCCGTTTTTATTTCCTTTTGCTGTCTGGGCTTCTCATCTAGGTTGCTGGTGGTGGCTTGATTTAGGCTGGCTTAGTAGGGCTGAATGTTTTTATTCTAATGCGTTCTTTGTGAGGCTTCTTCCTAAGAGAGGGAGGTATTTTACAGGAGTTTCGTAACTCCAACTGTCTGGAAAACAAAGCATTTTTAAGTAAGATTAATATTTGACATTAGCAAAAACAAACCTGTTGCTAGGGCACTCTTGTTATTCATGAACAATTATTTACATACGCTGATCAGATTGTTATATGGTGATAAGTGTTCTTGTGATTTTTGAAAGTATCTTGTGTTCATAAGCACAAATATGAGTGAACGTGGTGGTGCAAACCTATAATCCTAGCACTTGGGAGGCTGAGGTAGGAGTTTAAGGCTAGCCTAGGCTATATAGCAAGGCCCTGTCTCATACATACGTACGTACGTACGTACATGCTTGGAAATGTGCATCTTAGCCGTAAAACGTACATAATACTTGTCTCCAAACTTAGGTGGTTCCTACATGGAGACATATTCATAGACTGGCTAGAAATACATAAGCCATGTGGTTTCTCTTTCAGCCTACTGTTTTCTGAGGGTTTTTTGAAAGTCTTTAAACATTAGATGAGGCAGATTTTTAGTTTGAAATCATAATATATTTGTTGCCCTCTTAGATTTCTTTTTTACTTTGTTCTAAAGAAAAGGCAATGATTTTATGGCTTTTAGTAATTCATGAGGTGAATTAGGTTGAGAAAAATAAAGTGATCACCTTATCAACTGGAGTGATCTTTGACGTCATTCTAAGGACATTAGTACGTTACATCACAGTGTATTAATATGCACGTGCTATACAGCACATACTGTTACTTCATAAGAAAGGGAGGAATTTTACAGGCGTTTTATAACTCCCAACTGGTTATAAAGTAAAGCCTGTAACTACGACACTGTCACGCTTATTGCCTGAACTTTTCCCACTCGTAGAATTGAGATAAGGTAGGTCTTTTTATATATTCTGCCATGTTGACATTTTTGTTGCGGTTGTTGAACAGCTTCCTGCCGTTCTCAAGCAACCTTCAGAACATCAAGAAGTTCTCCAGCCCCTTCACTTGTCAGAACTGGAATCTGTTATAGCTGAAAAGCCACAGTTTAACAGAGTGAAAGATGCCCCACAGCAACAGGTAATGTGGACCCCCAACAGTTGTAAGACAAAAGAACAAAACCTCCTGCCCTTGGAGTTTCTGCGCCTGTTCCTGGAAGTGGGTATGACCTGGGGTGGTGGCCCTGTGCACAGCAGCGCTGAGCTGCTTTGCTTCCATCAGCTGCCACTGGGGACGCGAGCTCTAGGTTGTATGCTGTATCAAACTAAGCGGACACCTCCAGGGCGACCGTAAGGCTTAATCTGTAACTACAACACTGCCATGCCTATTGTCTCCAACTACTGCTGTGTTTTTATTGATGTTTTTAATCATACCTGTAACTTAGCCTAACAGTTGACTATTCTTTGACTGTTTGAAGTGGACTTTTGAGAAATAAAAGTTAAGCAACACTGTGCAGGATGACAAATTCTGTGAAATTCATGTTTTGTATAGTGAAATTCTATATCATTTGTAATTTTTCTGTTTTAATACTTTGTACGCTCAGGCTGGGGAGATAGCTCAGTGGCATAAGGGCCTGCCTGGCCAGAGTAAGGTCCTGAGTTCAATCCTCAGTACTAAAAAAAAGCCAAAAAACTACTTGGTACTCTTTTTAAAAAGTTAAGGATAAACAAGAAAGAAGAATAGTAAGTAATGGTTTAAGAGATAGTTCAAAATGAAATTATTTCAACAGAAAAAAATCTTCAGGTATTAATTGAAAAACTGGATTAACTCAGTCATTTGAATCTTAATTATAGGTTCTGGAGTTAAAGCCAATGGAACAGAAAGATTTAATCAAATTCATAGAATTTAATGCTAAGAAAACATGGCCACAGTATTGCCAGCAGGATAAAGATACAACTCAGGGATCATCTATAAGGTAAAACATTATAAAAAATAGTTGGGCATTCAGTAGATTTATGTTTGTTTTTTGGGGGTTTTTTGGGGTTTTTTTGTTCTTTTTTGTAGGCTCTAAATGCCTTTAGGGCATTTCTGGTTTGTAGTGACTGTCTGGGTTCGAACCACAGAAGCTTGAGCTTGAAGGCTTTGCTTAAGCAGACACGTAAACACCTGAGCTACTGGGCAGGCCCCCTAGATTTATGTTTGGGAGAATGAAATTTCTTTAAAAGCTATTCGTGGGCAGGGGATATAGCTCAGCAGCATAAGCGCCTGCTTGGCAAGCGCAAGGTCCTGAGTTCGATCCCCTGGTACCACACCAAAAAAAAAAGCTGTTCGTAAAATGTCATCTAAATGTAATTTTAAAAATTGTCTGTTGCTGGTTCGTTTTACTGGTTTTTTCTTCCTCAAAAGTATCAAAGCATCTGACTCTGAGAATGAAGCCCTAGACTCCATGCTTACGTCGCAGGGCCAGAGCGGTGACAAATGGCAGTATCTTCGTCGTGAGCTGGTGTCAAGACTGCAGCTGCCTCTGCCTCAGGCTGTGGAGCCCCAGGTCAGTGTGCATCTGCGCCGAGGGGAGCACCCTGTCTTTGGCTCCAGTAAGCGTGCGTTAAATCCACACATGCCCTCTGCAGTATGTAACGCTCTTGTTCAGAAAGTGTAGGTGCCAGGTGGGCTCTGGGCCTGGCCTACGCTTTGTCTTCATCCTGGGAACCTGCATGAGGCACCGCTCTGCTTCCACGGAACCCTGTGCTCATCCTGGGTCCTCCTACACTACCTACCAGTTTATCAGTCTGTCTTCTTACTAGAAGGTCTAAGAAGAAAGACCACGTCTGCCTGGACTGTGATTGTGTGTAGCACAGCAGCGGGATGTCCGGGTCTCAGTGACTGTTGAATGAGTAAAAGAATGAACAATAATATATGTTCATTTTTTAAGGCACTTTGAAAACTGTGTGGTGCTGCGTATCAGTCATCACAAGATTCTGTGGACCCTGTCTTATGCTGCTGTGTGTCAGTAGCACCTGTCATCCCTGTTTCCTCCTGGGGACATTACCAGGCCATCCTAGGGTCTCTTCAGGCTGGCTGATACCACCTTTCTCACTACAGGGAGCAGATGAGCAGAACACTGTGTTCTTGGCACCAGGGCAGAGGCTACCCATGAGTTCCCATTTTGCCAGGCTGGAGGGAATTTTTCTCCTACAACAACCTTACTTGCCTAATGAAGGTTGAATCCAGCTCCTCAGAATTCAGGTCTCTTGGAAAGAGGCGAATACCATCCTGTAATTCTTTGTCAGGCAAACTCATCTACCATCCCTTTCTCTTAATGTACTTTTCCAACTTAAGGAAGACATTAGCTCTGGATCATTCCCTTCTGAAAGCACGGCTCTATTCCAATGCTTATTTGGCTTCTCAATTCCAAATCAAGATGTAAATTATCCCTACATGTGACTTGCTTGTCATTCTAAGAACTATCTATACCAAGCACCAAGGAGGAACTAGTACATATATAGTCAGCAAATAAATGCATCAGTAGACCGATAACCTTGTAATGTGGACATGTCTGCTATTAAGTTGAATGATTAGTGATTTTACTTTATTCTTCAATCGTGAGTTTCTTGCCCCTGATTCTCATCCCTGAATGAATCTTCAGGTGTCTAAACATAGCCTGTCTTGGCTTTTCAAAGCTGCCTGAAATAGTTAAGGTGTTTTTCTTGCAAATAATGAGATAAGCAAAAAGGCTTACCAAGAAGGTAGTTCAGAAAAGTGCGTGTGAAGACATGTTTTGCTACTTACATTAGCACGAGTGTGCACGGTTACTAGTTAGCTTTCCCTTTTCTATATAGATTGCTGCAAGTATGAGCATTCTGCCCTGTGTGAGTGTGTGCAACTTCAGATACTCTATGGTTGAAGAGCTAAAAACCTGCACGACCCAACTGGAAGACCTGTGCCAGGAAGCTCAAGACCTTCAGACACAGGTACAAAGTTCAGGTCATACATTTTCCTCACAGCAGTAACATGAAAAATAAAATAAATAGAATATCTGAATTGCAAGTTGATCGTAATTTTATTTGCCAAACCAACAGTGGGGCTCATAATGGGCTAGATCCTAAAACTGCAAATGGAGTTTTACCTCGCTTGCCAAGTCTCCTAAATTTTATAGTCGTTGCCTGGAGTAAAGGATTCTAAATATGAATCGAGAATCAGCAGGAGAGGACAGTGGTCAGTGGGTGCCATCTGCAGTGGTGAGCTGGGCCTGGACGAGTGAGGAAGGGAAGAGAAGGAAGGGTACAGGCCAGATCCAACCTTGAGTAGATTTAACACACAATATGTGATCGGCAGGCTAGGGATCCATCAGAGAGCACAGGAGGAAGCAGCCCCAGGAAGAGTGATGGATTTCCAGCCTTGGTGTCACCTACACTGCTAGTCAGGAATTCAAGGTTAACATGGGTGAAGAACAAGAAGTAGCTCCCTGTGCTATGCTAAACCACTTCTGGGTGCCCTAACTCGCTGGGGTACAGATGTACATCCCCAGGAGCTTCTTCGGAGATGTGCATGTAAGAGTTGCTTGATTGTCACAGTCAGTGCGTAAAGGACTCTCCTTACCTCCCTCTGCCCCACTGCCCATCACTATCTTTTTTTCTTCAGTTCTGGGTATCAAACCTGGGCCTTGCACTTGCTAAGCAAGCACTTAGCATGGAGTTACTGTGCCACACATCCAGCGCCACCTTAAGATGCCGTACTTCCTTCTCCGAATCAGCCCCTTCAAGCTTGTCTTTTGTGACTTCTTTTCCTTCTCTCGGTCTCTTCAACACACTTTCTCCTACCTGAAATGTGGAGGGCAGGAAGCAGTGGGACGAGGGATAGTGTGGTTTATCTGAGACCATGTAGGCACTTGGCTGGACTCGCTAAGGAAGCCCCTCATCCTAAGGTTGACACTGTAATTCACTGAGTAGTCAACACACTACCTAAGATTGAGTTTCTGAAACCTGTTTTTCTCAGAGCTGAAACTTCTAGCTTTCAGGCTGGGGAGATAGCTTGGCGATCTAAGCTGCCTAGCAAGCACAAAGACCTGGGTTCAATCCCCCATAATGCATGCTATGACAGCCACCAAGACCCAGTGTAGTGTCTCAAGCCTGTAATCCCAGCACTGGGGAGGTTGAGACAGGAGAATAACTACGAGTCCAAGCTGCATAGCGAGACCCTATACCAAATACATAGATAAATAATTTTTTTTTGCAGAACCCAGGATTGAAATCAGGCCCTTGTACTTGACAGAGAAGCGCTTATTCCATTGAGCCATCTCCCCAGCCCCCCAATAAATAATATTTTTAAGCTTCTAGCTTTCTTCTGTGGCCTAGCTCTAGTGCACTGATAGTAGGAGAAATGATTAGTCCATGTTTTATTTTTTTTTTGTTTATTATTGATCTTTTTTATTGAGAAATAAATAGACAGGTTCACAGCTGATTAATAGGATAGTTTTGATAATCAATACATTGTACATTGTTATCTTCTTTGTGGTTATCCATAGAACAAGAAGCAGACAGGATATTCTGTCCAAACACTGTTAGTACACCTCTTTCTTCTC